TCTCCGAGGTGTCCCATAAAACCCCCCTATGCATTTGGCCGTCTTCTATTGGATTGGCTCAAAATTTTTACCACCCATAGATACCCATAAAAACTATGTGCAGTCGAATTTTCTAAGCAAAACATTGTAACACAAAAAGTTATATCGAAATTAAGGTTAAATTTGCCGATTTTGACGGATTTGGTCCTCAAAATGTTTAGCAAAAAATGGAGTGAGCACCATTTTCTAAGTTTTTTTGATTTACGAAAATATGTCTAAAGCGGAAAATTTTCAACCATTTTTTATTATCAAAATCGGCAGAAACCGACCAGAAAATGATAATTTTTTCGGAAAATTACTAAAAAAGCACATGCTAATTGTGAAAATATATCGCCAAAAATAAGCAGTGGCGTTTCCAAAAAACTTTTTCGCGATTATCTTTTTGTTTTACATTATTTTGTTTAGAAAATTTGGCTGCACATAGTTTTGATGGGTTCCCAAGGCTGCTAAAAACTTAGCGCCGATCCGATAGAAGACGGCCAAATGCCGAGGGGGTTTTTGGAACACCCTGTATAGTAAAGGATGCCCATTTAATCCGATGTCCAATAATCCATTTATTTTAACTGACAACGAACTTTTCAGTAGGCCCGTGATACTTGGAATGATGCCGCGGCAGTTGGTGGGCGTTTGCGTCCTGTTACGAGATCGACGGATATCCCGCTAGGGTTGGTCTTTGCATTTGCATATTTTGCGTGAGAACGAGTGGAAAATCGGATTCTCAAGCCATTATTTTATTTTTATCGATTCAGATAACGATGGTGCTGTTCGTCGGCGCGCGGCTGGCGCAGTGCAAGACGGCGGCTTGGTGGTGGCCGTCGGGCTGTCGCATCATCCGCGCAAAATATTTTGATTTTGTGGTAGGTTAGCAAAAGAGAGAGAGAGAGAGAGAGAGAGAGAGAGAGAGAGAGAGCCTGAGAGGTAGAGAGCGAGCGAGCGAGTGAGAGAGAGCGCGCGATAGAGAGAGAGCGCGCGATAGAGAGATAGTAGGGAGCGAGAGAGAGAAAAATATGGAAGGAAAGAAAGAGTGGTGGACGGTAATTTAGCTAGATGATAGATAGAGAGCGAGAGAAAGCGAGGAGAGAGAGTGAGAGAGAGTGAGTGAGTGAGGGAGAGTGGAATAGATGGGCTTACCTCCTCAGCGCCTCTCTCACGCTCTCTCTCTCTCTCTCTCTCTCTCTCTCGCTCCCTCAAACACACTCTCTCGACCGATTGATCAAACCCCCATTTCAGACGAGCGTCCTCATCAAGTGGTTGAAAAACTATAAAGCCGTTGATATGAATTTTTAGTTGCATTTTGCCGATTTCGAACAACATCAGATGCAATAAATCATATAAATAAAACCCAGCAACACAATTGACTACGCTACACTGCGCTACAGGGCGCTACCCAGTGTTACATCAAAAGCACAGAATATCCTAAAAAATTGGGATTATTTACAGAGGCTGTGTTTTTACGGCCAGACCCCCGACGTTTCCTCCCCCCTGGTCCCAAAAGTGGACAATTCTCAGAATTTTCGATTCAGATTCGGAAAAGACGTGCTTTCTGGAAAATATCTCAGTTTTGGTTTTGACCACCGCCTCAAAAATCACTCAATTTGGTCGGGTATTTTGCATAAAGGGCTCCGCTTTCTCTCTCTCACTCTCTCTCACTCTCTCTGTCTCTCCCTCTCTCTCTTTCTCTGTCTCTCTCTGTCTCTCTCGCTCTTTCTCTCTGTCTCTCTCTCTGTCTCTCTCTCGCGCTCTCTCGCGCTCTCTCTCGCTCTCTCTCACTCCCGCCTACTTTTGGTGTTCCTTAAGGCGATTTCGGGTGTCCAAGTTAGGTCCCACCCCCGGGGCTTTGATGATTCGTCATCTCGAACTCTGGCGGAATTTTTGGGTGGCCGCATTTTCCCAAGGCACCCACCACTCAACCCCTGCCGTACTGCTCTGAATAAATCTTCGAGTTTGGGCTATTTTGAGGGGTAAAGTATCGTAGATTGTCCCTTTTCCACCAAGGACCTTTTTTGCGTACATACCACATTTCAAGGGCCGAGCAAACGCCAGCATCTACCCCTTGCATCGACTAGGTCTAGACAACTGACTGACGCGCCAAATGACAATGTAAACCGCATTTTTAAGGCTTTTTCGCCTACGTTTCAGCAAAATAGAAAAGTCTTTTACGCGTCTTTTGGAGCGTCGCGTAGCTGTCTAGACCTAGTCGGTAGTAGGAGTCGATTTCGCGCTTCGTTGTCCCTTTAAAACGCTATTTTTTTTTTCTATTTTTAACCTTTTAATGACCAGTGAGGCCGTACACATCATAAAATCTTGTTTCAATAAAAATTGGAAGATGCGCAAAATAAGCGTCCGGTTATGAACTTTTGAGGGACTTCTGGGAACATAAAATTTTATTCGGAAACAGGAAAAAACGAATTTTCAAATTTTTTTTGCCAATTCTGCGGCTCCAGGGGGCCTTTTCGTGGCTGCGGAGGAACGCCAGAACCCGGGGGCGTCGCTGCCCGTTTTGGTCCCCCCCCGTTCGCCGGGGTGGAAAATGCGATTTCCTGGAGTTGCGCGTTGAAATTTTATGTAGTCGGAACGGGGTGGGCCAGGTGGCATTTTAGTGTTTGTTTCTCACTCTCGCGCTGTCTCTTTCTCTCTCTCTTCCTCTCTTTCGCTTTCTTCATCAGCTGCAACGCATAACTGTCTAGACCTAGTTGATGGTAGAGGTCGATTCAGGACCGTTCTGATACCTTTAAAAAGCGAGAAACGTGGGAATTCAACGGTTTTCGGGTAAGGAGAACTGGCGCGCCGTGTTTTGAAGCGTCGCGTAGCTGTCTAGACCTAGCCGATGGGAATGGTCGATTCTAGCGCTTTCCAGTCCCTCTCGAATCGAGTAGCTAGCGGAGAAACTGGAGGAAATTGCTTCAGAAACGCGATAATTCGGACGTTTAGGAGAACTGGCTGTCGTGTTTCAGGATGTCGCGTAGTTGTCTAGACCTAGTAAGATTAAGAGGTCGATTCTGGTCCTTACTGTTACCTTTAAAAAACTTTGAGGAAATTGCTTCAGAAACACGAGAATGCAAGCGTTTTCAGTAAGTATGGGCTAGAATCAGCGGTTTGCATATCTGTCTAGACCTAGTCGATAGTAGGGGTCGAACACGCGCTTCTGAGTCCCTTTAAGACGTCAAAATCCAGGCTAAATATCATAGCCTTCTTTTCAGTCTTCCAGTAGCGCGTGTGAGTCGTCATTTTTTCAGCTTATACTGCTGGCCTGCCCCCTCCACAATTTGGCCCTTCACAATGGGCTCCTAACTTCCGTATTCACGCTCTCCCAGTTCATTCAGGATTTCCATAGCCCTATTGGGGGCCTAGGGAGGCCCCCTACAGATTGTATACTTCAGAATTGGGCCCTAACGCGCCTTAAGGACCCTCGAAAATTAGCATCAATGCTCGGGGGCTTGAATTGGCACGTTTTTGAGTGTTTGTTCGGGTTTTCGGATTTTTTTTTGGGCTATATAAGTCCTCGCCGAGATGAGCTCTCGCTAGTGCTTGGCATCGTCAGGTCTTGTGTCTTTTAAAGAAACGAAGTAGTGCCAGAATCAACCCTTCCATCGACTATGTCTAGACGGCTACGTGATGCACAAAATCACATCTCACGCCCTCGTTGTGATAACCCCTCTGAGCTAAAATTTGGCAGAAAATCAAGAGAAATCGCGTGATTTTGAGTGTTGTTTAATCCCGGCAGCATAAATACCGACAAGAGAAAATTCCGACAAGTCAAAATACCGACAAGCTAAATAACCGTTTGAAAGGACATTAAAATTATCTAACAAAAGAATATGCACGGGTTTTGGCTGTCGGTAGGTTTTCTCTTTTGGTTTTGTCGTCAGTATTGTGGCTTTCGACATTATGAAGCTCGGGTTGTAGCTTCCCGCGATTTTGGCTGTCGCTATTTTTTCTGTCCGGATTTTGTCCTGTCCGTGCTATAGAAATTGGGTATTTCATTTTTGGGAGTTTTGGGTGATTTTCGTCGAGATTTTGGCTCTTAGTATTTTGGTTGTCGGGATTTTGTCGAGTCGATATCCTGGCCGTCGAGGTTTCGCTCTCGAATACTACCTGTCGGGATTTTGCCATCGAGATTTTGTTATCGACATTTTGGTTGTCGGGATTCTGACTTTCAGGATTTAGGCTGTCGGCATTTTGGTTGTCGAGATTTTAGTTGGCGGGAATCTGGCGGTCGGGTTTTCTATCGGGATTTAGGGTGTCGGGATTTTGGTTGTCGGTATTTTGGAACTGCGAGGTTTCACTGCTAATTCAAAAACTGCCAAATCCATGAAAATTCGCCTGGGTAAAATCTTGTGCGTTCCTGATGGCCGGAATTTGGGCGAGCTCCTTCCCGTAATTAGGCGCGCACGAAAATTGGCCGGAGGGTGGAAGACGGCCGAGACGAGTAATTTTATTGACTCTATCCTCGTCATCGTCAGGCTCCCAAATTTCGAACTTTCCATCGTACCAACCGTTTCCATTTCTAAGGCTTATCGTAGGCTTTTAAAGGGATGCCCAACCGTTTCGGGGCTCAAAAAGTAAAAACTACGCCGCGGGCGGGGGTCGAACCCGGGTCCCCCGTTTTCTAGGCCTAGATGCTATCCATTAGGGCATAGCGGCAAGCCATTGGGTGGGATTGGAACGCCACAAGAGCGAAAGGTGTCCGGATTCTGTGCGGCTTTGGGGCCCATTGCTGCACAAAATTCGCGCGTCATTTGTACTGACCGGAATACATAACTATATATTTGCCGGCGAAACATTGGGTATCCCTTTAAAGGGACGGACAGGCATGGCTATGGATTTTCTGTCTAATTAAGATGGACACTAGCCATTTATAAGCTTTGTTCGTTGTGTTTTTTCTTTTTTTGTGGCTTATTTTCTGCAATCTTGGTTTCAATTTACCATATTTGACAACTGTAGGGCCTTACCACTTCGCGATGCGTCTCCTGGATCTGCTGCTTTCCATTTTCTTGGCCATCTCCGCCGTTGCCGCGTATCGATACGATTTTCCGGAACAGGTCAGTTACAGCTATCGGCTTTTTAAAGGTTCGAGAAAGCGCGCGGTTCGACCACTTCATCAACTAGGTTTAGACAACTACGCGACGTGCTAAAAACCCATAAAATTGCCTCACCAGGAGCCGTCAAAATGATACTCAAACGAACGTCTTGGAGTGTCTCGCAGCTTTCCAGACCTAGTCGTTTTAAAGGGTCTTTTAAAGCGCACTAGAGGACGAACTTGAGTAGATAATTTGCAAATTTGAAGTGTAACCGTGGCCTTTTTGCGGTTATTTACACCAAAAATGTTCAAAAGGAGCCTGACAGTTCCAGATCCAACACCTTCTATCGACTAGCGCTAGCCAGCTGTGTCCCACGCCAAAACCGTCATCAAGCGTGCCGCGTAGCTGTCTAGACCTAGCGGATCGAGGGGGCCGATTTTAGCGCTTTACCGTCCCCGTACTTGGCGGATTTTGTCATCTATAGCTTGGTTAATCTAGAAAATTCACCGAGAAACTGCCCCCCCCCCAAACCCTTTTTCACGTTGTTTTTCCGGTGCTGCAGAAAGAGAGAGTGGTGCAAGATCAAAATCTAGGGTACAACTGCTATAAAACAATGGAGTGGGAGAAGGGGCAAATACACAAGGGTGGATGCTGTGCTGATATCAGCCATCCATGAAACCAGCCCGGAAACCTCAAGGTTAATCGGTTTTTGGGGTGTTTTTGAGGAAATTTCGGCTGCAGATAGAGAAAGAGTGAAAGAAAGAGAGAGTGAGAGAGAGGTAGAGAGTGAGAGAGCGCGAGCGAAAGATAGAAAAAGAAAGAGAGAGAGAGAGAGAGAGAGAGAGAGAGAGAGAGAGAGAGAGATAGAGAGTTAGAGAGCGCGAGAGAGCGAGAGCGAAAGATAGAAAGACAGAGAGAGAGAGAGAGAGAGAGAGAGAGAGAGAGGGAGAGATTTTTAACAATATTTTCCAGGACCTCCACACGGCCCTTCGACCATTCTCCGGCCCGGCCAAGCGCACCGGCATGATGTACGCGTGGAATAAGTATAAATCCTGATTTTTACGCAAAATTTTCGTTTTAGACACCTCAACTACCGTGCCGGCAAACGCCCCGACGCCGCCTGGGCCGACCTGGAGCATTGAATATTTGAGTACTGTGGAATAAAGCAACTTTTTGTTTTTAGTGTACACGACTCGAGTAAAAGTTGAGAATTAAGTTATTTCGAGTTTTCTAAATTTCAAAAGATTCCAGCTGGTCAGCTGCTTTTCTCAGGTTCTTTCTATTGCGGGTCACTCTTTTTCCAGCCTTGTTTGGGCCCTCTCCCCTTGGCCCAATCTTTCCCTCTTTCCTCACACACGACGGGTCCATGTGAATCGATGTCCCAGCGAAAGCACAAGCACACATCCACACAGTTCCGCCAACTTCCTCTTTACACCCTTCGAAAGCTCTCAAAATTATCAATTTTGGCTATTCTTTGGCCTAAAATTACGGTTTCTGGCCGATAAACTTACGTAGGAATGAAATAGGGAAACGGCGAATTTTCTGACAATACAAAATGCCCCGTTTAAACCAAATAAACACTTTTGAATCTAAATTTTATTAAACCAAAATTTTCTTTATTTAAGCGCTAAATATACCTTTAGCGCTTCCAAATTTATAAGCCGAACGATAAAAATTGGAAAATAATTGATTTTGGGAAATTTAAACACTGTTTAGCGGTTTTTTGGATCTTTACGATATAAAATTTTTAAAAAGCCAAATTCACTAATAAAAACGTTAAAAATTGGTATCCAATTAAATAAGTTTCAAAATGTAGAAGGTTTTTTGCTTTTTAATTTTGGTTCAACGCCTAGACGAACCCATCAAAACGTCAAAGTTGTAGTTTGTATTTTCGCGTCCTTTCAATGCTGTTTCGTAGCCATTTCGTCACGATTTCTGCGGCTCTCGTGATTTCATCGTGCCCCAGTTTACGCGTCGTATTTTGCCCCCCCTCCCCCCCCCTGTCGATTTGCTTTTGGGTGCCGGGCGGGAAAACACTTCCCTGTACCCGGATGAACCCAGCGTCAACACGCCTCTAGCTGCCTCTCTAACCGTCAGCCTCTCTGTCTCTCTCTCCCTCTCTCTCTCTCTCTCTCTCTCTCTCTCTCGCCGAAAACAGCTGTCGCAATTTCTGGATATTTCCAAGCAAACCCCTGGCTGACCACTCGGGTCGGTCAGGGGCATCTCAAAGGAGCTCGGAAAATCCCGATCTTCCCTTCCATTTTGCCTTGTCAAACACTTTAAATGGAGTGTCAAACGCGAAAGGCGACCCCTTTCGGGCGCCAAAATACGCGTGAACCACACTTCTGTAGCCGTGGATGTGCAGTTTTGAACAAAAATTTAAACCTGCCTGCGCCATTTGGAGTGTTGCGTAGTTGTCTAGACCTAGGCGATCGGAAGGGGTCGATTTTTTGTGCTTCATAGTCCCTTGAAAAAAACAAAGATCGCCTCGTGAGCGTTTAGATCTGGCCTTCCCTTGCTCGCTCTCTCCCTCTCTCTCTCTCTCTCTCTCTCTCTCTCTCTCTCTCTCTCTCTCTCTCACTTTCTCTCTCTCGCTCTTTCTCATTAGTGCGTCATCGATAAAGGTATTATCAAGACGCAAACCGCGCTCAAATCCCGCCGCTAGATTATGCCCCCAGGGCACACAGCTGGATCGCCATCCAGTCTGGCTAGCCTAACCAGCCTAGGTGGTGGGGGATATTTCGTGGACATACCACCTAGTGTCCCCGTTCTAAAGTGCACGCGTCCTTGTTGAAATGGTGCCCTTGGCTATATTGAGAGGCCACGCCCCTCTTTTTTGGTTTTTATTGATGCCATTTGGGAAATAGGTATATCGCTAGACGTTTTACGAAGTGACGCGTTACTTGCTTATTTTTAGACTATTTTTCGAGACAAATTTTGTGTATTAAATATCTTCAATTTTCATTTTTTAAAGTATGTATTGTTAATATTTTCACTTTTCAAGATTTCTATGGTTGTTTAACAAAATTTTTTATGAGATTTTGACAAATTTTAGATTTTCCCTCTTTTCCCCATTCGTATGGTAGTTTCGATTGTTTAATTTTGTTTTTCGTGATTTTTCTAAAGGCGATCGGCCTGAACTCCCCGATTTTCTGACTGAACCGTTCCTTGAACTTTATGCACAACCCCCATAAAAAACGGCACGCCTCCGCTTTACCGCCACCAGCCCCCGGGCCTTATCAATTTTATGTCTTTTGCACGCGTCAGCGCCAATTTTTTGAACTCGATGATTTTTAATGAGCTCCCAGAAGGGTTAGAACGCTTAATGGGATTCTGTAGGCATATTAGAAGTCCCACTAGCAGGAAAACTAAGAAAAATATCGACAATCCAAAATGCCGACAAGCTATTATTGTTGAACACCTAGGTATGGATTGGCGGCATTTATTCGGCGGTCGGTAGCTTGGCTTATTTCGTCGGTAGATGAACATTTCTTGTCGGCATTTAGGGGGAATTTGAAAGTGGAAATTGCAAGATTTCGGCGTTTATTTGGCCAAACGGCATCGTTTTAGCTGTCGGCATTTTGCTCTAATCATCCCAGTTGTCGGTGTTTTGAAAGAAGGACTCGGTTTTGCCTATTTTCTTTGACTTTTACCCAGTTTTCAAGAGGTTAAAAAGGGTCCGTTTTTCTATTGTTTTTAAACTTTTTCATTCTTTTTTTTTTGTTTTTCGGATACTTTAGGATGATTTCTTTTAAGAAAACGACGATTTTAAACCTTCATAAAGGACAACCTGGGCGCTAAAGTCACGTTGTCGAGCCGGCCGACTGGCACTCGTTTTGTGGGGTGCATGCTGGTCGTATCAATTTTCTCTTTTATGCCCCCATTGTGACGTAGTGGCAATGTAGCTATCACTTTCCATATCTTAATTAGTTGACCGTCAAGAAGCCGCAGAAATTTAGCCATATCTCTCTCTCTATCTCTCTTTCCGTGTGTCCCTCTCTCTCTCTCTCTTCGTTATCTCGCGCTTCCTCACTCTCTCACTCACGCAGTCTCTCACTCACTCCGTCCCTCTCTCGCCCAGTCCAAGGAGCACAAAAATCAGAGCATGAGCGGGTGATGGGATGGGGGTGAAAGTACCGGGGTTCGGCCGGTGGGTGTGGATGGAGCATGTGATAAGACGGCATGTTTCTCCCCCACCCGTTCTTCTACCAGCGCGCGACACCTTTTTTGATGGTGATCGTGATCACGCGATTGTCCTGGAAGCTTTATAGAGCTGATTCCATGTTTGAAAGTTTAATTTCAAGTTGTCGAGTCTAGCTCTCTCTCTCTCTCTCTCTCTCTCTCTCTCTCTCTCTCTCTCTCTCTCTTTCTCTCTCTCTTTCTCTCTCTCTATCTGGCTCACACTCGCTCTCTCTCTGTCTTTCTCGAGCGCAGTCTCTCGCTCACACTTGCATTCTCTCGCTCCGACATTCGCACCCACTCTCTCTCTCTCTCTCTCTCTCTCTCTCTCTCTCGCTCCCTCTCTCCCTATTCCACAGTTTCCAGGGTGTTACTCCTTGCGAGGATGGGCGTGAAGGAGGTATCGGGTCTCGTCTCTGGACGTGGTGTCATCTGGTCTGTAGCGTTGTCCCTAACGCTGCACGTCCTCAACCACCATCTCCTCCTCGTCCTCCTCCCCCTCCTCTGCGTCGCCATCTACAAAGGGCTCAAGGCGCCGCGGTCGAATCCGGATACGGTAGGATTTTTGGATGCTAGGTCTTGAGAAACCTAGCTTCGAAGTCCCTTTAAAACAGCAATTTCCAGGCGGCCACCTTCTTCTCGGGTCTCCGTGTCGGTGGCCATCGCGGATCGCCCACCATTTACCCGGAGAACAGCATGGCCTCGTTCGAACAGGCAAAACTAGACGGCTGTGACCTTGTCGAATTTGACGTGTCGATGACGAAGGATGGGCACGCTGTTCTGCTACATGACGACAACTTGGACAGGTGCGGAATCTCCTAAGCGTACATTTAAAAAAACGAATTTTCCAGAACCACCAACATGACGGGTCCGATTCGGGACAAGAACCTTGCCGAGCTGAAGGACTGCAATATTGCCGCGCATTTTAAGAGGACTGGGTGGGTTTTTCAGACTTTAATCAGTAGTGATAGCGTCGTTCTCTCCATCTCTCTCACTATCTCTCTATCCCGCTCTCTCGCTATCTCTCTCTCTCTCTCTCTCTCTCTCTCTCGCTCGCCTTTCCTCTCCCTATCCCTCTCTCGCGCTCTCTCATACTCGCTCCCTTTCTTCCACTTTGGCCTACTGTCACCCGCTCTACTTCTCTTGGTCGCTTTCTCTGTCTCTATCTCTCACTCAGTCTCTCCCTCTCGGCCGATCTATTTTTCTCTCTCTCAATCTCTGGTACTCGCTTTCTAACTCTCAAACTCTCTAACGCTTTTTCTGTCTTGCTCCCTTTCCCTCCCGCTTGCTCCCTCTCTCTAGCTCACTCTCTCACTTGCTCTCTCTCGCAGACCCGCTCTCTCTCTTTCTCTCGCTTTCGCTCTCTCATCCTGTCACCCTCCTCTTAAGGATCGTTTTTTCAGTCCCGGCTCCTCTCCCATCCCATCCGAAGGTCTACCTGCCCTCGAAACCCTCGTCTCCTGGGCCAAGACCAACAAGATGAAGCTCCTCTTCGACGTCAAAGATTACGACCCCGAGGTCCTAACAAAACACACACAAAGAAAAATATCCCTAAAATGATCCCTTAGCGATTTCAAGGTGGGTAGGAACTTCAAATTTTTCTTTGAAGTAATCTAGTGATTCTTTCGAGGATTCTTTGTCCCGTTCGGAAGGTTTCCTAAGGTTTCCTCGTCCCTTAAAAGCCTAAATTTTTAGTTGACGGCCATCATTGTCGAGCTGTTCACGAGGTTCGACCTGTACGACTCGGCGATCGTGTGTTCTTTCTTCCCATGGGTCGTCTACAGGGTGAAGAAGGCCGACTCGAGGATATTGACGGGTTGGTGTTGAACTTTGGCTCTCTCTCTCTCTCTCTCTCTCTCTCTCTCTCTCTCGGTCTCTCTGTCACACTCAACCTCGCTTTTTTCAGGCATGACCTGGCGCCAAAAGTTCTTCTCCTACGAGGACGGCGAGCACACGAGGCCCCGGTTCTCGTGGGCCCTCCAATTCTACCTGGCTGCCCTCCTCGACGTCGTCCACCACGCCGGACTACACACCATCCTGCCCACGTTCCTTGGTGTTGACCTAATGTTGACGTCAAATTCAGAAATTTCTCCGTGGGTTTTTGAGAGATAGAGAGAGAGAGATAGAGACGGAAAAAGAGAGAGAGAGCGAGAGAGAGAGAGAGAGAGAGAGAGAGAGAAAAATTTGTGATTTTAGTCGCTACGTCGCAAAACAGCGCGCCAAAGGAGTAGAGGTCATGGCGTGGACCGTCAACGACATCAACGAGATGCACTGGATGTTGGAAACATTGAAGGTCAGAGCAAACTAGCGGAGATCGTTTGGGAATGGAAGGGGCAGGCTAGCAGAGATCATTTGGGAATGGAAGGGGCAGACTAGCAGAGATCATTTGGGAATGGAAGGGGCAGACTAGCAGAGATCATTTGGGAATGGAAGGGGCAGGCTAGCAGAGATCATTTGGGAATGGAAGGGGCAGGCTAGCAGAGATCATTTGGGAATGGAAGGGGCAGACTAGCAGAGATCATTTGGGAATGGAAGGGGCAGGCTAGCAGCGATCCTTGCAGAATTTTTTATGGTCTCTTTTCAGATCCCGATCCTCACCGATCTCCCCTACCACATCCAGACCTTGTCAAACCTGCGAAAATTCGGAGAAGACGGCTACGTGTCCGTGAAGGCTGCCTAAGCAATCGAATTTTTCTGCTAATTTATGCAAATTTTCGGTGATCTTGTACAGCTATTGAGTTCGAAATATTACAAACTACGGTACCCCATGCATACGTGTCTCTCGTGCGCCCATTGAACAGATAAAGGATTGTTCTGAGATCAAGGTAGCACTACACGAAAGAGAGAGAGAGAGAGAGAGAGACAGCGAGAGTGAGAGTGAGAGCGAGAGAGATGCTCCTCTGCTCCTTTAGCTCCAATAAATGATCGCTTAGCTACCGGCATATGCCCCACTTATCATAACAAGGGCCCTTTGGGCATCTGGCTGTCACTCATTTCATTCTTTGAGCTGCAGCGAAAAGACGCGACGGGCTGGAGGAATAAGTCGTCTGGGTGTAATAAGCCTCGTCACACAATCCAACCACACACGAAAACGGGACATTTGAGCAGCACCCAAGGCCCGCGAGCCGCACTCCATCGTCTCGCCTGCTTTTTTAGGCATCATTAGATGGGGCAGGATTTTTTCAGATGATCAGATCTGCAGCTTTGCTTTCTCTCTTGCTCCACGACACTCTCGCAGTTTTCAGGTGTCTCTCTCGCTCTCTCTATCTCTATTTCTCTCTCTCTCTCTATCTCCCTCTCTCCTCTTCCGCCCCCGAAAAGGTACTGTAAACCATATTCCAGTAAAGACATCTAAAAACCGATTATACTTTTTAGCCTGCCCATCGAGCATCTGTGGCGGCAGCCTCGAAGGGGGATGGCTCGAATTTCCGAAAGACTCCCCTTTCCCGACTCAAGCACATACACACGCCCTCCAATAAGCCACCCTTCAACATTTTCATTCGTCCATTCCTTCCATTCCCAAATGATCTCTGCTAGCCTGCCCCTTCCATTCCCAAATGATCTCTGCTAGCCTGCCCCTTCCATTCCCAAATGATCGCTGCTAGCCTGCCCCTTCCATTCCCAAATGATCTCTGCTAGCCTGCCCCTTCCATTCCCAAATGATCTCTGCTAGCCTGCCCCTTCCATTCCCAAATGATCTCTGCTAGCCTGCCCCTTCCATTCCCAAATGATCTCTGCTAGCCTGCCCCTTCCATTCCCAAATGATCTCTGCTAGCCTGCCCCTTCCATTCCCAAATGATCTCTGCTAGCCTGCCCCTTCCATTCCCAAATGATCTCTGCTAGCCTGCCCCTTCCATTCCCAAATGATCTCTGCTAGCCTGCCCCTTCCATTCCCAAATGATCTCTGCTAGCCTGCCCCTTCCATTCCCAAATGATCTCTGCCATCCTTTTTTCTTGGATGCTGAGAGCTTTGAGTAAGCTAGCGGAGATTCTTTGAGATTTTTCGCTTATTTTGACGACCTCGGTCAAGGCAATCTAGCAGAGATCATCGCGGAATTCTGCCCAAAATAGGCCTTCAACGCCATTCTAATTACACAAAATTCACCTGGGCCTCATTCACCCAGGTAGACCTCCCATGACCGGATGGAGGGCCCCATCGCGGGGTGGCTGGAATTGTGCCCCCGAGGCAATAGTGGGCCCTTTCTGGGGGCCTCCCCGTGAATCCAACGGGGGCTTTTAGGGCCCTCTTTTCACTAAAGGGACGAGGGCCCACTCCAGCACGCCACCTTCTATTCTTTTCTGTGCCTTTCTCTCTCTCTCACTCTCTCTTTCTCTCTCTCACTCTCGCTCTCTCTCTCTCTCGCTTCCGATTCTATCAACGGAAAATCCGGGGGCACCCAGCATCGCCCCCGGCGATTTCTATGCTTATCCTGTTTTTCCTTTTTTTAAGGGCCACCTGAGCCCTGGTTTTTGCGCTCCGTGCTTCTAGAATTCCTAAGATTGCATTTATGAACATTTTAAAGGGACCAGCAAACCAGCGAATCGACGCTTTCGGTCCACCAGGTCTAGACAACCACGCGTCACACCACATGAAGGCTCAGCCTCATTCTATTCTCGTGCTCTTTCTCATTCTTCTCGGCCAGTCAAACCCCGTTTCCTCCATGCGTAGTTTGGAGCCTCGCGTAGCTGTCTAGACCTAGCCGATCGAATTGTCGATTTTGGGGCAATGGATGCCTTTAAAAAGGAACGTGCTGGCCGTGGCCATGGATCTTTTCTGAGAGGTGTGTTTTGGAGCGACGGGTCGCCGTCGAGACCTAGTGGATGGAAGGGGTCGATTTTAACCTTACTTGTGCTTTCAAAGAGATGGGTCTTTAAGAGTACTGAAGCCGTTCCACGTACAATTGAGCAAAAAGCCCTGCGTATTTTGGAGTGTCGCGTTGCTGTCCAGATCTAGTTTATGGAAGAGGCCGATTTGGACAGTTCCAGGTCCCGTAATGGAGTTATCAAGCTAGATAGATCTGCTAGATCAGCTAGACAGAGCTAGATATCTCTCTCTCTCTCTCTCTCTCTCTCTCTCTCTCTCTGGCTCTTTCTGCCTCTCTTGTCTATCGCGCTCTCGTAACTTGTTCTTCCGGTTTACGACCTTAATTTTTTGGTTCCCGGCGTCGACTTCCCGGCAACCCGGCTAACAACCGGGTGCCGAGATTTATTGTTTTATTCGATTTTGTGGAACCAGAGAGAGAGAGAGAGAAAGAGAGAGAGAGAGAGAGAGAGAGAGAGAGAGAGAGAGAGAGAGAGAGGCAGACAGCCAAAGCGCGACTTCCGGAAAATGCGGAACACCGCTTTTCCGGCATCCGGATCCCTGATTTTGAATGCGCAGATCAGCGCTTCTCCCTCTTGTCTGATGCTCTTTCTAGAAGCTAGAAGAAGGAGGGCATCGCCCCCTTCCTCTAGCTTCATCCCCTGCCTTTGAGGGGGATAATTAGGGTTGTCTCGCCACGAGCAGGGGGTCTTAGGGCCCATGTTAGGGCCCAAGAGGGGGGATACGGCGCACGTTCAACTTTTGCTACTTGTTTTACAGCTTCTAGCTTCTAATGGTGACTTGAAGAAGTCGTGATCGCAACGTTGGATACTCTCACTCTCTCGCTCTCTATCTCTCTATCTTGCTCTCTCTGTCTCTCCCTCTTTCTTTCTCTCTCTCTCTCTCTCTCTCTCTCTCTCTCTCTCTCTCTCTCTCTCTCTCTCGCTTTCTGCCCCTCGCTTTTTTCATAAAGATCCTCAACTCTCTTCCTCCTTCTTTCCCGCGAACCATTCGAATAGCCGCCTCGGCAAAATTCATCAATTTTTCATGGCCTCCGATCCACACCGTGGGCACCCACGGTGACGCCGTGCCGTGTCCTTTTTTTCCACGGCCTATTCTACGATTTTCGGGTCCCGTGAGGGTGAGAATGCCCTTACTAAAGGGACGGGCAAGGCATGGCTAGGGGTTTTTGGCTACGGATTCTGGCTGCCCGATTCAGCCCAAGATACGCAAGTTGAACTACGATCACTTTGTTGCGGTGCATATGCGTTACGTGGCGCTGGCTCGGGAAAATCCGTCTGAAATTCATAGTCAAAAAAATCATTCCCTTGCCTTACATGCTTTTTTAAAAGGGCTTCTAAGGTAGAACTTTTCTCGGTTGCGCTCCTTCTTTCTTTTTTTCTCTCGCTCGTTCTATCTCTCTCTGTCTCACTCTCTATCTTTCTCTGTTTTTCTCTCTCTATTGCTCTCTCGCAATCCTACACCAGGGCAAGCTAGCGGAGATCCTTGTGGAATTGAATCGGCAGCTGCTTCAGAATATTTCAAGGATTGTAAAAGAAGGCAAACTAGCAGAAATTCGTTGAGAATTCAGGCCTCTTTAAGGTAGGCTAGCAGAGATGCTTTGGGAAATCCGGGGAAAGCAAGCAGATCTTTTTATGGAATTCGATCTCACTATCTCTGTCCTTCTTTCCCTGTCTCTTTCTCTCACTGTCTCTCACTTTTTCTCTCTCTCTCTCTCGCTCTCGCTCTCTCCACCCCATAACTTTTTCCATAACTTACACCCTTGGCGCGAACAAAAACTGCAGATTTGCGGGGACTTCTGCCGCTCGGGGTTTTGTTCAGAATCCATGCAGGAAAGGAAGAAGAGAAGTGGCGTCGAAATGGGATTAGGAGGGGGGAGTAGAAGGGGATAGAGAAGGGTCTCCCGGTGAAGGGGATGAAGGGGCCAACACACGGATTTGGCGGTGGTGCGGCCGAATCTCTCTCGCCTATATGGATTTTCTCGGTATTTTTCGGATTTTGCGTTGTATTGCCTTGATTTTTTCGGCCTCAATTCACTTTACCCCCCCCCCCCAGCCCAAAGTTCCAAAAATTTTTCGACATTTCCGCTATTTTGTCGGGATTTTGGCTATACCTTTCGATGGAGCATCAAAAAATATGCCAAGAGTTTTAATTACAGCCCAAAATCGTGTAGCATAAAAAAATCATTGCTAAAAACCTTTGCGAACTTCCGGCTGGGTGCGAGGGTAAAGTAGAGTCTCACCGATATTTTTAGAAGGATGGATTACACGATCGAACTTTGGGTACTGGACGATTAGCAGGGGGGGTATTGTTAACAGGCAACGTAAACCGAATTTTTTCCCCCCAGTAATTTGGTGCGGCTTGATGTCAAAATATAAAGCACTGCATAGCTTTTTCTATTTGCTTTGTCTTCTCATGGCCCTTACAAGGTTCCAAACAGTTCCTTCTCACAAAATATTTTATTTAGATGCCTTATCGCGCAGATCAACGGCTACGCAGTTGCCTGAAATGAAACCAGGTCTACAGCTTTGGCTTTTAATTCTCTTCGGTCTCTACCAACTTCATTCCGCGAAGAGGCACAAGCACAAGTCATGGTGAAATTTTTGCGTCTTTTAAGGGGACTAGGAGGCGTCCAAATCGACCCGCCAGAGACCGGGTCTAGACAAATACCCCTACTCCAAGATATGCTAGCTGGCCGGCTGCTTTAGACTTGGACTTGGCCCAAAGCTACACAGAAGCCGTGAAATACAGATAACCTGCGTCATTTTGAGCGCCGCGTAGCTGTCTAGCACTCGATTTTCGCACTTAGCCAGATTTCGACTGTGCTTTTAGCCAGTTTTTTCATCGGCTTCTGGCTCCGAAAGATGTAAAATTTTAGCGGCAATAAGTCAAGCGCCTTGAAATATTCATAATCGTTAACACCTGAACAAAGGAATTTTTAAAATAGCGTCTAGGAGCTAAAAGATGCGCATTTTTGGGGTTGACCGAAACGAAATGTCTTTCTCTCTCTCTCTCTCACTCTCTCTCTCTTTCTCTCTCTCTCGCTCCCGCTTCATTCGGCCGCGTCAGAAGCACGACACTTTTTAGGTTACGCCGCCGGCCTGAATAGGCCATAAATTTCTAAGTGGATGAGCGTGGGTATTTTTGACGGGAGAGAGAGAGAGAGACAGAGAGAGAGGAGAGAGAGAGAGAGAGAGAGAGAGAGGGAGGGAGAGAGGTAGAAGGCAACAGAACCTCCAGAAAATTCTATTTTAGTAAACGCACCGCCTTCAACCGGCACACCACCAACTACCAGGCATGGCGGGAGCAGATGACGGTGTGCGACCTGTTGGACGAGTACGACTCGGCGGTGCGCCCGAGTGGGAGAAGCCCACTCAATGGGAATACAAGCGAGTTTTTGGGTTTAGAAAGAGAGAGAGAGAGAGCGGGAGAGATAGCGAGAGTGGGAGTGAGAGAGAGAGAAAAGGAGAGAGAGATTACGGCTAACCCTGATTTTTTCAGAAGGCCCAGTCATCGTCACGACCAGCCTGAACATCCGCTCAATTTCTGCGGTTTCCGAGAAGAATATGGTAAGCTGTTTCCAACTTCAAGGGCACTGTGAAACCCGGAAATCGACCACTTCCGTCGACTAGGTCTAGACAGACTAGACAACTACGCGATGCTGCAAATTACGCATCTATTCCCGAAGTTTTGCCTCAATATTAAGTCCTTAAACGTTCTAAAATTCACACGTTTCATTTGGTAGGTTCCGTAGCTGTCTAGACCTAGCCGATCCGAGGGGTCGATTCTCGCCTTGATGATCCCTTGAAAGGTCTTCTTCTCGTGAACCCTTTCACCTTCAGGAATTCGTCGCGCAATTCCGCTTCCGCCAGGAGTGGTACGACGACCGGTTGAGGTTTACGGAACCGGAACCGGAGGATACTGGGAAGAGGTAGAAATCCATGGGAAATTTGCCTTCGACGGTCCTTTAGTAACCTGCCAATGCTTTCTAGATCCAATAGTATGTCAAACGGGAATTGGCGGCGTGAGGAGTTCATTAATGTGGCGCGGGATCAGCGGCTCTGGATCCCGGACACGTTCTTTCAGAATGAGCGGAATGGGTGGTATCATGACTTGGATCAGGTGGGTTTGGCTTGGCTCTTGCTCTCTCTCTCTCTCTCTCTCTCTCTCTCTCTCTCTCTCTCTCTCGTTGCCTGTAGCGCTCGCTTCCTCTCTATCTCAATCACTTTCTCAAGCACTCTCGTGTAGTTTTCCCACGTTCCGGTTTTTTTTCTCGTTACCTGTCGCTCGCTCTCTCGTTTCTTCTGTCTTTCTCTTTCTCCCCCTCTCTCCCTCGCTCTCTCTCCCTCTCTCCAACTTCATCACTCCTTTAGGAAAACCGCTTCGTCAAAATCCGCTCGGACGGCCGTATCTTCTACGATCGTCGCCTCACGCTCCATCTATCATGCTCGATGTCCCTCATTAGATACCCGATGGACGTCCAGAATTGTGTCGTCGACTTTGCTAGCTGTAAGTTTGGGCTTGTGACGGAGTTTTCGCGTATTTTCAGACGCCTACACAACGCAGGATATCCAGTACGAGTGGGACGATCCGCCTGTTAAGTAAGTGCTCTCTCTCTCTCTTGCTCTTTCTCTCTCCCTCCCTCTCTCTCCCTATCCCTCTCTTTCTCTCCTTTCACACTCTCTCCTCAATCCTGGTTTTAGACTTCACGAGGGTGCGAATGGTGCTCTGCCCAACTTTGATATCACTTCCTTCAAAAATGCTTCTTGCCACTCGAGCACCAATACAGGTACGACAGTCAGAAGTATCGGAGCATTTATACCTTAGGAAACTACTCCTGTCTACGCGTCGAGCTGCGCCTCTCACGGGTCTTTTCCTTCTTCTTGCTTCAATTGTATATACCGTCGTCAATGTGGGTTATTTTTAAGAGTGGGCAGCAGCCAGCAGAGACCTTTTGGGAATGGAAAGGGCAAGCTAGCAGAGATCATTTGGGAATGGAAGGGGCAGGCTAGTAGAGATCATTTGGGAATGGAAGGGGCAGGCTAGCAGAGATCATTTGGGAATGGAAGGGGCAGGCTAGCAGAGATCATTTGGGAATGGAGGGGCAGGCTAGCAGAGATCATTTGGGAATGGAAGGGGCAGGCTAGCAGAGATCATTTGGGAATGGAAGGGGCAGGCTAGCAGAGATCATTTGGGAATGGAAGGGGCAGGCTAGCAGAGATCATTTGGGAATAGAAGGGGCAGGCTAGCAGAGATCATTTGGGAATGGAAGGGGCAGGCTAGCAGAGATCATTTGGGAATGGAAGGGGCAGGCTAGCAGAGATCATTTGGGAATGGAAGGGGCAGGCTAGCAGCGATCATTTGGGAATGGAAGGTGGCGGGCTAGCAGAGGTCATTTGGGAATTGCAGGTTGGTGGGCGTGGCCTGGGTCTCCTATTGGATCGACTGGAAATCGACGGCAGCCCGAGTCCCGCTGGCGATCATCACGCTCCTGAGCATGATCACCACCTCGCACGGTGGGTTCCAAAAGAGAGAGAGAGAGAGAGAGAGAGAGAGAGAGAGAGAGCAAGATTAAGCGAGATATCTTTCAAAACTCTCCTTTTCAGCCATCAACTCCAACCTGCCGCCCGTCTCCTATGCAAAGTCGCTGGATATCTGGGTCGGGGCTTGTGTTGGTAAGTATTGCGCCTTTCCGCTCTCTCTCTCTCTCTCTCTCTCTCTCTCTCTCTGTTACTCTCTCGCCCAGGCTTGTAAATCCAAAAATCCCATTTTTTAGTGTTCATCTTCTTCTCGCTGATCGAATACGCTATTGTAAATTATATGGGTATCGTCGACGAGCATAGGTAGAGTTTTTAAGCTTAGTCTTCGGCTTGGGCTTAGGCTTAGCTTAGGCTTAGGCTTAGGTTGGGCTGAGGCCTGTGCTTAGGCTTAGCTTAGCATCATAGCTTCTTTGGATAGGAATGAAAGTCATTTTTCAATTCAGACAAATGAGAAAAGCGGCCTGCAACCGGAGTCGCCTCTCAAATGTGCTCGACAATAATATGTACATGCAGAATTGTGAGCAGCTGAGCCCGACGTCAGCCGGCTTTAGCCCGCAGGAGAAAAAGGTGGATTTCGTTCTCTATCACTCTTTCTCTATCTCGCTCTCTCTGTCTCTCTCTATCGCTCTCTCTTTATGTCTCGCTCTCTCTCTCGCTCGCTCGCTACATTTCAATTCACTTTCAGCGTCTTCTGCGCCGGAAAAGACATAAGAATATGGAGTTGGAGTTACGAGAGGAAGAGGAAGGAATTATGGAGGGCATCGAGCTGACGGAACGTCGCCCACCCCAAGCAGCCGTTTCCGGACCGGAGGGATGGACATTTCAGGTAGCTTCGCTTAAGCTCTCTCTCTCTCTCTCCCTCTCTCTCCCTCTCTATCCCTCTTTCTCTCTCTCGCGCTCTCTCTTTGGCTCTAAATACATGAATTTTAGGACACCACCGAGATGGTCTACTACGGGCAGCGGAAGAGGGTGGAGCTGGTCAGGTGGTGCAGCGTCTTGTCGAAGCGAGGACGCGCCGAACGGATCGATATTATTGCTAGGTAAGTTAGGGTGTCTGAGCCTTACTATCACTCTCAAGCTCAAACGCTCTCTCACTTGCTCTAACTCTCACCTTTTCTGTTTTTTCTCTAGCTCCGACCCTCATGCTCACTTCCTCACACTCGCTATCACCCTGTCTCACTCTCTTCGTCTCTCCTTCTCTGCCTGGCTCTCACTCTCTCTAACTCTAACTCTCTCACCTGCGCGCTATCCTTCTTCTCTCTCTCTCTCTCTCTCTCTCTATCTCTCTCTCTAACCCCTCTCTTTCCAGAATCATCTTCCCCCTCGCCTTCTTCATGTTCAACGTCGCCTACTGGAGCATCTATCTCGACAACCCGGATGCTGATTAAATTATAAGCATGTATTTTGCATAAATATTTCACAACACGTTATAAAACTCAATTAAAAAATTAAATCATTTCTTTGACAAGAATTAATTAAATCTAAAATCTTATAACAAGCAGCATCAATGAGAGCACTTTTTCGACGACAAATGAGATCGGAAATAATTAGCATCGGTATTAAATGTAAAAAAAGCTTTAGAAAATCCATAAATTAAACCCGTCATAAATGGTAAATAAATCGCAAATCCGGCAAGCCTAATAAATCCTCAACAGCGGCCGCGACGGCGCCATCGGCTTGAACTGCTCCAAGTCGGTGGGCAGGGGGATAAGCCGGGAGGAAGCGGGCTCACGATGAAGGCGAGACGCGCCCGCTCGACGCCATTTTGTCATTGGTAGCTTGTCGTGCTGGAAAAAGTCTTGTCTCTCTCTTTCTCTCTCTCTCTCTCTCTCTCTCTCTCTCTCTCTCTCTCTCGCTTTCTCTCCGTATTTTATAGTAGAATGTGGCATTTTAACCGGGGTTATAAGTCCTGAAAATCGACCCCACCATCGACTAGGTCTAGACAGCTACGGAACACGCCAAATCACGCCTCGCAGACTGTAATGGCCTTTCGCCAAACTCATAGATTTGTAGGGGCTATTAAAACGCTATTTTCAGGGGTAATTTGGCACATTACGTAGCTGTCTAGACCCAGCCCAGGGCGCGGTCAATTTTGGTGATTTCTAGGCCCTTTAAACACGACTTTCTCGCGAATTTTCCGTACCTTCTTTCCATTCCTGGATTTCTGAGCTGCTCTTCGCGGAAGTGACGCAAAGGCGGGCTTCGTTGGCTTCGTTGGCTTGGCTTCATCGACTTCAATCGACGCATCAAGGGCTTTCAGCTAAATGCATATTCGCTTTTTTTGCCTAATACCGTACCTCTTCCACCAGCTCCTCTTCCGATTCCCGCATCGCCTCGGCGCCGACGATGTCCAAATTACGCTCGAGGCTAAAAATTCAGACCGCTTTAGGACGTTTTTACGGCTTTGTAGTTAATAATCCATTTTTTCGACTAAAAACATACTTAATAAACTCGAACAGCTCGAGCGCGGCGTCGCCATTTTCATCAAAAGTTTCGACAACTCGAGGTGGGGCCTGAAAAAGCCTTTTACAGTGAGATCAAGAGAGAGAGAGAGAGAGAGAGAGAGAGAGAGAGAGAGAGAGAGAGAGAGCAAGAGCGAGAGAGCGAGAGGGAGAGAGAGGGGGAGAGCGAAAGCGAGTTGTACCTTGACATGATACCGAGCAGCTAGCAGCTTCCTCAATTCTTGCGCGTCGAATTTCAGGTCGAAATTGGAGTCGAATTCCTGGAAATAAAATTATACTAATTTGGTGCTTCTTAACCTTTATTTTTTCAATTTTGTAATCATTTCAGTCTTTTTAACGGGACTCGCAAGCGTTAGAACAGACCCTTTCCATCGACTAGGTCTAGACTACCACGCGACGTTCCAAAACACGCAATCGTCCCCCTATGAGAGATATAACAACGAGGTTTGCATGTGTCATTTTGAGTGTCGCGTAGCGGTCTAGGCCTAGTCGATGGAAGGGGTCGTTCTGGCGCTTCCTCGTCCTTTTAAAATCGTGTTCATCAAGTGAGTGCCATTTTTAGCCTCAAAAAGTCCTTGGAATTGGTTTTTCTGTCTCTTTCTTTCTCGCTCTATCTCTCTCGCGCTCTCTCTCTCTCTCTCTCTCTCTCTCTCTCTCTCTCTCTCTCTCTCTTCTCTCTCTCTCTCTCTCTCTCTCTCTCTCTCTCTCTCTCTCTCTCTCTCTCTCTCTCTCTCTCTCTCTCTCTCTCTCTCTCTCTCTCTCTCTCTCTCTCTCTCTCTCTCTCTCTCTCTCTCTCTCTTACTCTCTCCTTAACACGACTTTTCAAATCGGCACCCACCCCGCACACACTGAGAAATTAGGCCAATCATGTTTGCATTCCACAGGGCGCGCCCTGGGTGGCTGTGGACGGGTTTCGCGCGTTTTTAGGTGCTTGGTTTTTCCGCATTCCACACTTTGAGGTGAGGGAGGAATTCTAAGGGATGATGCCAGCAAGTTTTAAGGTCACGCTCAGCGAAATACGACTTCAAGCCTAAGCCTAACCCAAGCCTAAGCCTAACTCTAAGCCTGGCGTGGCTTGTGTTGCGTGTTGCAGCGCTATTGTACGCTTTCTCACCTGGAATATCCTCGCGTAATGCTCGGCCTTTTGCTCGCCGCTCTTCTCGGGTTGTCGAGACCAAAATTGTGCGAATTCATATTGTGATTGGATGGTGTTCTCTAGAAGTAGATTCATTCTATAAAGCAAGCTTTTGACCACTTGCCATCGACGTCTCCGTAGTTTTGCGCAGTCCGAGAAATGATTCCGGCAAAAACCAGGGCTGGGAGCGCGAGGAAAAACGCCGTTTGGAGCATTGCGCAGTTCTAGAACGGTGGTGTAATCTTTCCAAACATGGAAATTAAGCGAAAAAACAACGTGAAAGAGAGAGAGAGCGAGAGAGTTAGGAGAGAGAGAGTGTGAGAGAGAGAGAAAAAGAGAGAGAGAAACGTTGATAGGTCTAAAACGTAGCTCTCGATCTAGAGCACAATGTAGCATACGAATTGGATGCAGAAAAATGAGGAAATTGCTAAGATCGAGTTTAAACACTGCTGGGTATGAATTTGGGTTTTAAGTGGCCTGGGATCTCCACGAAAATGTACTCAAAAAAGTGTTGAAGTCATAATCATAAGCCTATGAATAAGCTTAAGTCTAAGCCTAAGCGGAAGCGGAAGCCAAGCCTAAGTCCAAGCCAAGCCAAGCCACGTCTGAGAAAAGCCTAAACGTAGGCCTGAGCCAAAGCCAACCGAGACCACCCGCACCACCTGAACACGAAAAAGTTTCTTTGGTCGAACAGGGTGAGGACGGGGGGGGGGATGGAATGTTTTGGGAGGGTGGAGGTTGGAAGCCGCTGAGGGGTTTTGATGGACTAGAGGCGGACCGAAAAGCAGAAAGAAGGGGAACCCCTTTATAGACAGACACACACAACATCAAATAGACTGTCGACATGGCACAATCCTATAAGGGGACGCGGAGTGTGACGTAGTCGACATGGTTTTCTCTCTCTCTCGCTCTCTCTCACTTTCTCTCTTTCTCTCTCTCACTCGCTCTCTCTCTCCCTCTTCAACGTCACCACACCAAAGAATTCATCAATCCACTCCCCAGCACCCTATTAAAATGCATTTCAAAGAAACTTGTAAGGCAAGGCGGGCACGTATTCTCGTGTGGATTCCCTAAGAATCTCTGCTAGTCTGCCATCTTGTTCTGTTTTTCGGGGTTGCTGTCAATTGAAATCTGCTAGCTTGCCCTACCGCGCAAAAGACGCGTCGGCGGCCAAAAACCTTTAAAAGGAACCGGGAAGCGTCGGAATCGACCCCCTACATCCCTTAGGTCTAGACGACTACGCGACACTCCAAAATACGCAAAAATGGACTGGTTGCCGACTGGCGGATCATAAGCTATTCTGCTTTTCTTAAGCTTTTCTTATTTCTGACGTGGGCCAATTATTCTATTTTAAAGGAACCGGGAAGCGCGGAATCGCCCCCCTACATCCCTTAGGTCTAGACAACTAAACGACACAGCAAAATACGCGACAACTGTTTTTTGAGGCCTAATCGATCCTAGCCCTACCTGTGAACGACCATACGTTACGTTTCCGTTACCTTACGTTCCAGCGCGATTTGGAATGTCGCGTAGCTATCTAGACCTGGCAGATAACAGGGGCAGATTTTAAGGCGCTCCAGTCCCTTTAAGATGACGCTACCAGAAGCACTTCTATCTCAGGTAGAACAATATTGGTATTTAAAAAGGATTCGGAAGCGCATAATCGCCCCCTTACATCGGCTAGGTCTAGACGACTACGCTGCACTCGAAATACGCATGGCGGCGGTTTCGTTAAGCGCTTTGGAATGTCGCGTAGTTGTCTGGACCTAGTCGATGTCAGGGGTAAATTTTCCCAATTCTTAGCCCCTTTAAGAGACGCTACCAGAAGCACCTTGATCTCTACTAGGCCAGTATGGCTGGGTGTGTTGACCCGACACGCCCTGGGTGGGGCGTGACGTAGTTAGCGAATGGCATGAATGCCCTGAGGATACGTGCGGGAGAGAGAGAGAGAGAGAGAGAGAGAGAGGGAGAGAGAGAGGGAGAGAGAGAGAGACTGGATGACTAATCAGCACCTCGTTCGTGTGTGGCGCGTATGCCAGCTGGAAACTGGCATCAGCGCCCCTTTTTCCGTCCTTCGAATTCTCTTTGATGTGGGGTCGAGTCGCAGGATTGTCGGTTAGTCATCTAATCGGTTAATGGGGGCGTTGACGATAGAAATTTAATGCTATAGATGTCGTAAGCAGAAAAGCGCAAAAATTTATCCCAAAAAAACAAGAAACAAACGACCGGTAGTATCGTAATACTGTACAATTCATAAAAAGCTAGAGAGAGAGACAGAGAGAGAGTGAGAGAGACAGAGAGAGCGGGAGAGAACGAGAGACAGACAGAGAGAGAGAGGGAGAGAGAACGAGAGAAAAAGAGCAAGGGAGAGAGAGAAAGAGAGAGGAATAGAGAACAATCGATTATGAATAAAAGGTAAGTACAGAAGAATGGTTCCCGCGCACTAATAAGGTTGGTGGCAGCCCTCGGCTCATCATCTCCAGCCAGGATAGATAGAGCGGGGCCGGCGTGCCTTTCGAAGGGACTGGTAGTGTTCTAAAAAGGCTCTAAGTTTATCTGTTTTAATATAATGAATGTTTCTGGTGTTTTTAACGTGTTTTTGTTATGCTAAAAGGTTAAGAAATTCTTACAATGTTGAAAATTCTAAAAGCTTTACCTTTTTGGCCATTTATCATACGCTTTTGATCAAAAATTCCAAGGTTTTCGAATATTTCATAATTTTTCATGAGGTTTGGTTTGCTAAAAACCGTGTCAAATTTCGTAAAAAAAGATTTATATTTTGTTATGGGGCAGTAAGGGCTTACTGGGAAAAATCTGGGTTCCACAGCCGCCCCCCCCCGCTAACAGGCCAGTACCAAAACTTACACAACAATCAAGTCCGCATCTTCAGAATATTTTTGTAGCAATTCTCCGCATCGCAAGTGGCGGTAAGTTTTGCCCTGGAAAAATCATTTTATTTTATTTTAAGGAATTTATGACGTTAGAAATACTTTCAAGGAGCTAGAAACCGCTAGAATCGACCCCTCCTATCGCCTAGGTCTAGACAACTACGCGAAACGTCAAATTACGCGCAAAAGCGTTGTTAGGTTAGCTGCAAAGAGTATGCCGCTTGGAAGATGACATGCTCTTGTACGCGTGTTGCGGCACCTTGCGTTGCTGTCTAGACCTAGTCGCTGGAGGGGGTCGATTCTGGCGTTTACTGGCCCTTTAAGGGTACCTTGTGCATCGTCAGGTCGTGCTCCGTAATCTCGCCCTCCTTCTGGCGATGGCCGACGGCTCGATAGGGGGTTATCAAGGTTTCCCAGGTCTCGAGGCTGGAAGGATCTCTGTCTCGCTCTCTATCTCTCACACTCTCTCTCTCTCTCTCTGTCTCGCTCTCTATCGCTCTCTCTAGCGCTTCTCTCTCTATTTCTTTCTTTATCTCTTTAACCCACGTCTTTGCATGCGGTTTCTGCTCGATGCCGACCACCGTCTCCACGTCAACAAAGTTGATGCGGAACTTGTTGAGGAGGGCGGCCAGGTCAAGCTAGAAACTTCGAATCCCGATTTGTAGATCACGATTACCTTATCACTGTCCATCACCGGGTTCTTCTGCGAGCCGACGGTGAACACGCGTAGTTCGGCGTCCTGAAGGAGTTCACATCAGAATTTGCATTCATTTTTCGGATACCTCTAGGTAGCTCTTTTCCAGGGTGAGCAGGTGGGCTAGGAGCAGGGTCAAGCCGCCGTCGTCGCTTAGCCACCAGACATCTAAGGGTTTGATAGAGGAAGGGGAGAGAGAGAGAAAGAGAGAGAGACCGAGAGAGAGAGGGAAAGAGAGAGACCGAGAGAGAGAGAGAGAGAGAGAGAGAGAGAGAGAGAGAACTTGAGAGAGAACGCGAGAGAGACAGCGAGAGAGAGAGAGAGAGAGAGAGAGAGAGAGAGAGAGAGAGAGAGAGCGAGAAAGAGACCGAGAGAGAGAGGGAGAGAGAGAGAGAGCGAGTGAGAGAGACCACGAAATCGACCTTTTTACCCACCTATCCTAGCCTTCCTGATACGCACGCAAAATGGCGAGGGTAACTGCAGCCCGGCTCCGCTAGCACCACTAAAAAGTTTATCCCCATTTTTGCGATGGATTACGCCACCAAATACCTCAATTTATGGACCCCATTGATGGCGATATCCGGGACGCTCAGCTGCTTATTTTGCGGGGGCTCGAAGGATGGCATCGAGTTGGCTTTTTCGGAAGCCTAAAGTGTGGGTTTCAATCCCGATCTAGACAATTTAAAGGGCTTGTAAAGCGTCAATATCAGTCGAAATTCACATGTGTACTTTGGAGTGTTGCGTAGCGGTCTAGACCTAGTCGTTAGAAAGGGTCGATTCTCAAATTCAGTCATGCTGGATTCGAGCCAATTTAGAGTGCTTGTTAAGCGTCAAAGTCGACCTTTTTATCGACTAGGTCTAGACAGCTACACAACACCCCAAAAAACAGCCGATAAAAATTATTTTCACGCGTCATTTCGAGTGAAGCGTAGCTGTCTAGACCTAGTCGATGGAAGTGGTCGATTCTAGGCCTAGCCCGTGAGAAGCTTACATATATCTTCGAGAATCGTTTGCCCATTTGGCCGACGGCTCGACGGGCTCCTAAAATGAGAAAAATGCTAAGAAAGTTCTGAATCACGTACGGTCTCGGAATAGCTCCTGATGCATCACCGGATTCAAACTTGGGCGTCCGCGTGGTGGTGTCCTAAAAAAATGACCTCGCCCCGATAAACATCTTCAAGGAACAGGTAATGCTTGGCCTCCATGTAAATTTTTTACCCTCTTGGCCACTGCTCGCTAGCTCTTTTCATGGCGTCACGATTTCCTCGGTCCAACATATCAAAGCCTTCCATGCGATTCCGCAGCACTGCTACTGACATATGGTGGTCGAAAGCGGCTCTGGAAATAGCAAATGATCTCTGCTAGCCTGCCCCTTCCATTCCCAAATGATCTCTGCTAGCCTGCCCCTTCCATTCCCAAATGATCTCTGCTAGCCTGCCCTTTCCATTCCCAAATGATCTCTGCTAGCCTGCCCCTTCCATTCCCAAATGATCTCTGCTAGCCTGCCCTTTCCATTCCCAAATGATCTCTGCTAGCCTGCCCCTTCCATTCCCAAATGATCTCTGCTAGCCTGCCCCTTCCATTCCCAAATGATCTCTGCTAGCCTGCCCTTTCCATTCCCAAATGATCTCTGCTAGCCTGCCCCTTCCATTCCCAAATGATCTCTGCTAGCCTGCCCTTCCATTCCCAAATGATCTCTGCTAGCCTGCCCTTTCCATTCCCAAATGATCTCTGCTAGCCTGCCCCTTCCATTCCCAAATGATCTCTGCTAGCCTGCCCCTTCCATTCCCAAATGATCTCTGCTAGCCTGCCCCTTCCATTCCCAAATGATCTCTGCTAGCCTGCCCTCCAAAAACCTACTGTATTGCCGACACATAATGACAACACTCGTCCAATTTCTCGGCCCCTCCCTTCGCCCAGTTGGTCTTGAAGCCGTAGAAGAAAATGTTGGGGACCAACTTTCCGATACCGTACGACTGGATATAAGTTAATTTAAAAAACCGCGCGTTCGATTTACCTGTGCTAATTGGTTCGTAGCCTCGTGCAGATTGTTGGCGGAAATGGTGACCGCAAAGGATTTGATGCCACGCTCCCTAAAGTTGCAGATATACCTTGTGAGTCGAACTGCGTAGCTGTCTAGACCTAGCACATTTTAGAGGCAGACTTGCGGTTAACTGATACTTTAAAGGGACGCGCAAGGCAATTCTTTGCATTTTAAGCGTTTCGAAGACAGGCCAAGGCGTATTACTTACCGCAACCATAGCTTGGCGCGGGAATCGGAGCGCTGCGTGAGGGCCGAGAGACGATGGGAGGGGGCGTGCTCAAAATGGCCTATTTAACTGTCCTACCGTAACCCTTTACCGTAATGACATTTGCACATGCGAGGAGGCTGGCACCTCTGGTGATGCTCCCCGCAAAATCGACCAATCCCGGTCGGGCAGATGGCTCGCCGGTCATCAAGAGGATCTGAATAGACAGGCTAGCAGAGCTCCATTGGGAATGGAAGAGGCAGGCTAGTAGAGATCATTTGGGAATGGAAGGGGCAGGCTAGCAGAGATCATTTGGGAATGGAAGGGGCAGGCTAGCAGAGATCATTTGGGAATGGAAGGGGCAGGCTAGCAGAGATCATTTGGGAATGGAAGGGGCAGGCTAGCAGAGATCATTTGGGAATGTAAGGGGCAGGCTAGCAGAGATCATTTGGGAATGGAAGGGGCAGGCTAGCAGAGATCATTTGGGAATGGAAGGGGCAGGCTAGCAGAGATCATTTGGGAATGGAAGGGGCAGGCTAGCAGAGATCATTTGGGAATGGAAGGGGCAGGCTAGCAGAGATCATTTGGGAATGGAAGGGGCAGGCTAGTAGAGATCATTTGGGAATGGAAGGGGCAGGCTAGCAGAGATCATTTGGGAATGGAAGGGGCAGGCTAGTAGAGATCATTTGGGAATGGAAGGGGCAGGCTAGCAGAGATCATTTGGGAATGGAAGGGGCAGGCTAGCAGAGATCATTTGGGAATGGAAGGGGCAGGCTAGCAGAGATCATTTGGGAATGGAAGGGGCAGGCTAGCAGAGATCATTTGGGAATGGAAGGGGCATGCTAGCAGAGATCATTTGGGAATGGAAGGGGCAGGCTAGCAGAGATCATTTGGGAATGGAAGGGGCAGGCTAGCAGAGATCATTTGGGAATGGAAGGGGCAGGCTAGTAGAGATCATTTGGGAATGGAAGGGGCAGGCTAGCAGAGATCATTTGGGAATGGAAGGGGCAGGCTAGCAGAGATCATTTGGGAATGGAAGGGGCAGGCTAGCAGAGATCATTTGGGAATGGAAGGGGCAGGCTAGCAGAGATCATTTGGGAATGTAAGGGGCAGGCTAGCAGAGATCATTTGGGAATGGAAGGGGCATGCTAGCAGAGATCATTTGGGAATGGAAGGGGCAGGCTAGCAGAGATCATTTGGGAATGGAAGGGGCAGGCTAGCAGAGATCATTTGGGAATGGAAGGGGCAGGCTAGCAGAGATCATTTGGGAATGGAAGGGGCAGGCTAGCAGAGATCATTTGGGAATGGAAGGGGCAGGCTAGCAGAGATCATTTGGGAATGGAAGGGGCAGGCTAGCAGAGATCATTTGGGAATGGAAGGGGCAGGCTAGCAGAGATCATTTGGGAATGGAAGGGGCAGGCTAGTAGAGATCATTTGGGAATGGAAGGGGCAGGCTAGCAGAGATCATTTGGGAATGGAAGGGGCAGGCTAGCAGAGATCATTTGGGAATGGAAGGGGCAGGCTAGCAGAGATCATTTGGGAATGGAAGGGGCAGGCTAGCAGAGATCATTTGGGAATGGAAGGGGCAGGCTAGCAGAGATCATTTGGGAATGGAAGGGGCATGCTAGCAGAGATCATTTGGGAATGGAAGGGGCAGGCTAGCAGAGATCATTTGGGAATGGAAGGGGCAGGCTAGCAGAGATCATTTGGGAATGGAAGGGGCAGGCTAGCAGAGATCATTTGGGAATGGAAGGGGCAGGCTAGTAGAGATCATTTGGGAATGGAAGGGGCAGGCTAGCAGAGATCATTTGGGAATGGAAGGGGCAGGCTAGCAGAGATCATTTGGGAATGGAAGGGGCAGGCTAGCAGAGATCATTTGGGAATGGAAGGGGCAGGCTAGCAGAGATCATTTGGGAATGGAAGGGGCAGGCTAGCAGAGATCATTTGGGAATGGAAGGGGCAGGCTAGCAGAGATCATTTGGGAATGGAAGGGGCAGGCTAGCAGAGATCATTTGGGAATGGAAGGGGCAGGCTAGCAGAGATCATTTGGGAATGGAAGGGGCATGCTAGCAGAGATCATTTGGGAATGGAAGGGGCATGCTAGCAGAGATCCTTTGGGAATGGAAGGGGCAGGCTAGCAGAGATCATTTGGGAATGGAAGGGGCAGGCTAGCAGAGATCATTTGGGAATGGAAGGGGCAGGCTAGCAGAGATCATTTGGGAATGGAAGGGGCAGGCTAGCAGAGATCATTTACCTGTGGCCTATAGTTCTTGACATGCTCATCGTATTTGTCCATTCTTTGCAGGCCGGCCAGCGTCGATTTGTAGTGGTTGGCTTGAGTAGAGGAGCCCCAATTTACATCTAAAACATTGTTTTAAAGGACCGGGCAAGGCATGGCTATGGATTTTGTCACGACGCGACGCGAAACCATACGTTGCGTGTCGCGGCCGCTGAAAAATCTATAGTCATGGCTTGCTCGTGCCTTTAAAGCGGTGGAATACTCTTTCACCTGGCTTATTCTTCTTCAGGAACACAAAAATGGCCGCAAAAGCCATAAACGTGGCGAGGGCTGTCGGCCAGCTCATGACGAACATGATGGCGATACAAACGACGGAGCCGAGGAGGGAGAGCCACATTGAGTAGAAACGGAAGGCCGGGCGGAAGCCTAAACCCGAATTTGTAGGGCTTTGGAAGATCGAGAATCGACCCTTCCACCGACTGGGTCTAGACAAATTTTTTAACAGTCATAATGTCAACATTTTTATCGTACTATTTACGGGTTTTGGAGCGGATTTTTTTCTCCAGAAATGCGTTACAACGTAGAAGAGCGAGAGAGAGAGAGGGAGAGAGAGAGAGAGATAAAGAGTGAGAGAGATGTAGAGTGAGAGAGTGAGACAGAGAGAGTGAGAGAAAGAGAGGGGGAGAGAAAGAGAGGCAGGGGAGAGAGCATGAAAAGTTACCCGGTGAATTAGAATACGAAGCGTCAAAACAGGCATAGTTGACGAGTGTATAGGTGCAGAGGAAGAAGTTGGAGATGATCGGGGCGATTAGGTCGAGCTTTCCTAAAATGGAGACATCTTTCACCCTCATGTTCTCCCCCCGCTATCACACTCATGCTCAGTCACTCTCACGCTCTCTCCAACTCTCACGCACTGGATCTCTCTATCTCACTCCCACTCTCTCTCACTCATGCTCTCTCACACTCACGCTTTAGATCTCTCACTCAGATTCACTCTTTCTGTTCTCTCTTTCACGCTCATGCTCATGCTCTCTTACCCTTACGGTGTCTCTCTCTTTCTCTCATTCTCTCTCTCTCGCTCTCACGCTATCTCACTGCCAAGCTCATGCTCTCGCTCTCTCTCTGTCTTTCTCTCTCTCTCTCTCGCTCTCTCTCTCTCTCTCTCTCTCTCTCTCTCTTTTCTCTCTCTCTCTCTTTCTCTCTCTCTGGCTCTCCGTGTCCCTGACTTACCAATCAAAATCATGCCCACAGTAATCGCAAAAGTGAGGGCGTAGGCGCGCCGTGGAGCGTTATCGGCGCCGTAACCCTTTTTGAACCAGGTAATGTAGGGGAATAGGTTGTCAGCAGCCACTGCCTGCAATAATGTGGCATACGGTAGGCGATACACGTTTTAGAAGCGTGAGTTTAGGATCAGCTACGGTAGAAATGGTCCAAAAACACTATGCTTACCTGAAAAATTTTTGGGGCCGATACAAGCGAGGCCAGGGCTGAAGACAGGGTGGACGCCAGGATGCCGATGAGGATCATTGGCGGCCAGGCGGAGATCTCCGATACCACCTAAAAGTTCAGACGATTTGGAATGACGGTATTTCGCACTCGCTCCCTCTCTCTATTTTTCTCTCTCTCTCTCTCTATTTCTCTCTGTCTCTCTTTATCGCTCGCTTTCTCGCTCTCCCTCTCGCTCTCTCTCGATCGCTACCTGATAATCGTTCATCAACCCATACTGGCAGGTCCCCGTGCAGTTCGGCTTCAGAATGTTGCCTAAAACCGGGGTTTTCCGATTTCTAACCGAACTAGAAAATCCTGGAATCGACCCCTGATTGACTAGGTCTCGACAGCTGCGCGACACTCCAAAATACGCGTTTACGTGCATTTTAACGGTTTTAAACCTTTTTGTACGGACTACATGCTGTAAGAACTTTGTTGTTCGCGTTGTCTGGAATGGCGCGTAGTTGTCTAGACCTTGCAGGTGGTAGGGGTCGATTCATAGGGGTCCCGGACCCTTCAACCTTGATAGTAAGGTACTTACCATCAACCACCCAATTGCGTGTAACACCATCGGCATCCCTCACCCATACCGAGCCGCTGACCAGCACCGTCCCCATGTAGATGAGGGTGGCCGAGACGATGGCTAGCAGGGTTCCGCGTGGAATTGCCATCTGAAGCGGAGGTTAGAGAAGAAAGAGAGAGAGGGAGAGAGAGAGAGAGAGAGAGAGAGAGAGAGAGAGAGAGATAGGGTGGGAGAGGGAGAGAACGCGAGAGAGAGAGAGAGAGTCAGACTGGCTTCGTCTGTACCTGTGGATTCTTCAAATCGCCAGAAATATTGGCTCCGGCCATGATTCCCGTGGCCGCCGGGAAGTAGATAGAGAAAATCGTGAAGAAGGACTGATCCCGAAAACTCGGGAGGAGATTCTCCTTGAACGTGACGGCTAAATGTTTGCCTTTAGCGTTTCGCACTCACTCTTTCGCTCTCCCCCTCTCGCTCGCGTCTCTCTCTCTCTCGCTCTCTCTCTCTCTCTCTCTCTCTCTCTCTCTATCTCTGTCTCTCTCTACGATATGTACCTGAATACCCGGTAAATCCCTTCTTCTCCTTGGTCTCTGTGTGTATAAATGTGCCGGCGATGAAGCAGATCATCGACAGCGTGAATGGGATTAGCATTATCTGAAGAATTGAATAACCATCCGCGAGAGAGCGAGCGAGGGAAAGCGGGTGAGAGAGAGAAACGAGAGAGAGAGAAAGAAAGAGGGAGGGAGAGAAAGAGAGAAAGAGCGAGAGCGAGAGTGCGAGAGCGCGAGAGAGTGATAGAGAGAGGGAGAGAAATAGAGCGATAAAGAGAGAGAGAGAGAGAGAGAGAGAGAGAGAGAGAGAGAGAGAGAGATAGAAGCTTCCCACCTGCTGCAGCTTCGATTCTATAGAAATTCCGATGCAAATGATGGCCATCAGGATGATGCACGTGGCTGAAAATACGCTATCTCTCTCTCTCTCTGTCTCTCTCTCTCCTCTTCCCCAAAAACCCTTACCAATGCCAATCACGCGCACCTCGTTCGTCTCATCGAATACGCTCCAATTGTGATCCCTCAAAAAATCCACAACGGTCTCTGCTAGCCCTACGATGTACAGTGCAGCGGCGACCTATAAAACCCTCAAAATTTTCACTACAATCTCTCACCGCATTCGCACAGCAAAACAGCAGCCCGATCGAGCCCCCAAATTCCGGGCCCAGCGTTCTCGATATCTAAAATTTCTTTTTAAACGGCCAGGAGGGGTTAGGATCGACCCATTACACAGACTAGGTCTAGACAGCTACGCGACACTCCAAAATACGTGGCTTTGATAGTCCTAGTTAACGCTGTTTTTTTTTGAAGCATCGCGTACCTTTCGAGACCCAGTCGCGCGGGGGGGTCGATTAACACGTTTCTGACCCCTTTAAAGGGGCCGTTACACCAAGAAACTGACCATGTAGTAAACCCCGCCCCCTTTGACCTCGCCGTTGGTGGTGATGGCGGCCGTGGAGATGGTGGTGACGATCGTCACCAAGGAGGCCAGGAGGATGATGAAGAGGGCCATTACTAAAAATGGGTGTTAGGAGCGAGAGATAGAGAGAGAGTGAGAGAGAGAGAGGGAGAGAGAGAGAGTTAGAGAGAGCGAGTGAGAGACGCGGGAGAGAGAGAGCACGAGATGGGAGAGAGAGATGGAGAGAGAGATAGAGAGAGTGAGAGAGAGGGAGAGAGGGAGAGAGTGAGTGAGTGGGAGAGAGAACGATAGAGACAGAGAGAGCTAGAGAGGGCAAGATAGAGCGAGAGCGAGAGAGCGATTGAACCACTCACAAATCCCAGCTTGTCCACACACCCACGCCAACCGGATGTACAAAATCACACCGATGATGTTTTGCAGGCACCTAAATCTTTGTAAAAATCATAATACGCACCAAAACCTGATATAAACCCCCTCGATCCACCCAAATTTCTTCTGCTGCGTTGGCGAAGTTTCTGGGGATGAAATAGGCGCCGGATCCCCATTTTCGAGCTGTAACAGAATGCATAGTAATCCGAGGACTAATTTAATCCGGAAAAAATGATACTTTGTTTTGAGTGATACCACCCACCTCATCCGCCGAAGAATTCCGGGATAAATTAACGACTTTAGCAGGAAGTGGCGGAGTGGAGAAGCCTTCGAGAAGGTCGCCCATCGAAGGTCGCATCTTAAAAATAGGTTTTTAGACATCCGTCTCGCTCTCTCTCTCTCTCGCTCGCTTTCCTTTTATCTCTCGCTCACTCAATCGCTCTCTCTCCCGCTCGCTCGCTCGCTCGCTCTCTCTCCCGCTCGCTCTCTCTCTCGCTCACTCACTCGTTCTCTCTCCCGCTCTCTCTCTCTCTCTCTCTCTCTCTCTCTCTCTCTCTCTCTCTCTCTCCCTCTCTCCCTCTCGCTCTCTCTACCACCAACCTGATCCGTTTTTCGCTCACATGTCAGCTTATAAAATTCAATGTTCGGCGGCAACTCCGTCGAGTTCATACCGTAGCTCCTGAAAAAAAATTTTTAGTTCGAGGGAGTTAAAGCAAGAAAATCTGGATAGTTGTCATTTAATAAATGTTTTCCGCAAAGTTCCACTCGGCAAACACCGAAGAAGTTGTTCGCCATAAATTTTGTTTGAAATTTTGGCGCGTTCCCGGCGGGGGCGCAGGGTCAACAAACATATCAGCTCGGCCATCGGCGGGCGCCTTTATTAGTTTTTTTTTGGTGATATTTTGTGTGGGGTGGCAAGTTATGGTAACTTACACGGCCGTCTCGGTCCGTGTTTTCCCGTCATCGACCGTCATTTCGCCTGAAAACACTGCATTTTGCTAGGTTTTTTCAAGCAGAAAATGAAAAATAGGTTCTTTCGCATTATATAAGTCCAGGAATGGATCTAATGTCGCAATTTGAGAATGCCGAAATTTCAGAGTAGCGACATTTTTTTGCTTAGGTTTCGGGGGAAAATTCTTATGTAATGTTCTATATTTTACATACTACATTTCAATTTGAAAAGTTATAAAAAATTTCCAAGGCAATTTTCTGTTGAAATTTCGGTAGAAAATTTTTGGTAGAAATCATTTTGATCGCAAAATCGATATTTTTGTATTTTTTTTGATCAAAATTTGTACAGTTGCTACGCTTGGGGCTATTAAAAAAAACGGTTTAGAAACACTTTATCCATTTATGTTCAAAAAATGAGAATGAGAAAGAACCCGTAAATGTCTTGAAAAAACGCCGCGCCGCGACGCGCTAATTTGAATTTACGAAATGTTGGAAATTCATAAAAAGGCAGGCGAAAAGGCTTTAACCTTTTCTACAAAAATAATACATATTTAGCAAAATGATTTGCGAAAATAAAATATCGACAAATGTATCTTGGTAAAATGACATTTCGACAAGACAAAAATAAACGGCTTTGGGCAGAATCCGCTCGTCAAGACAGCTTTTTTAAGGGGGGTGTGGATGACGATTAGCCTCGGCGTTCCGGGCTATCATTTTGCGTGTGCTAGCTGGTTTGAGAGCCCCGATTTGGGGGGTTAGCTAGGGGAAAACAATACGATCTTTGAAGATCCCCCCAGCCGCTCTATCACTTGCAGCCTTTGCGCGGGTATTTGGCGAATCGGATAGAGAGCGAGAGAGAGAGAGAGAGAGAGAGAGAGAGAGAGATGAGACGAGAGAAACAGATAGAGGGAGCGAGAGAGAGAGAGAGACCGAGCATACTCCACTTTATCATCTCCCGATTACGATCGCCACTACTACTCGCCCCAGGTCAATCCAGCCGGTTTCATGGAGCGTCCTGGAGTACTGTAGCTGATGTCATATTTTTCGGCTCAATCCACACCTTTGTGATCTTAAGCTACGTTTAGTATTACCGTACGGAGATGCAGGGTAAGAGAGAGAGACAGAGAGAGAGAGAGAGAGAGAGAGAGAGAGAGAGAGAGAGTGAGCGAGAGAGATAAGGGGAGATAGAGAGATAGAGAGAAGCGAGAGAGAGTGATAGAGAGAGGGAGAGAGAGAGCGAGAGAGAAAGAGAGAGAGAGAGAGAGAGAGAGAGAGAGAGAGAGAGAGAGAGAGAGGGTGAGAGCCAGAGAGATAGAGAGCGGGAGAGAGGGAGAGAGAGAGGGTGAGAGAGTTTTGACGAAGCGAGCGAGAGCGAGAAAACGATTAACGATTTAATGTGTTAATCGTATTAACCTTCATTTTAGATCCAGCCAAAGCGGCAACAAAATTTAAAAAACATATTGACCAAAAGAGTACTATTAAACGTAGAAAATTCCGTCGGAAATTCGGATCCGGAATCGCCAATAAATCAGCCGATCGGCGCCCTCCACAATTTTTATACCCTCCGCGACGCCTATATCAGTTCTACGAAAATCCCGGGGGGTCTGCTTCCAAATTCTTTACTCGCCCGCCCGGACAAAAAAACTCGCCTTCGAAATCTAAAAACAGCCAAAATAGCCCGGGGAAGTGGCGATAACGGGGCAGAAAAGACGGCCGGTCCGCACCAAAATCCGATTAAAATGACCCTGGAAAGTCGCCGGGGGCTTTTGTGTCTTTTTCGGGTGTCTGTAGGTGGAAAGAACAAAGGTTTCTTGGTCAAAAGCCCCTAAACGTAGTCGTTATATAGGTGTAAGTTACGGTTCTTTCGCCTTATAGGGGGGTTAATTTTTTTATCTAAGTTTAAAAAAGCCTAGAAACTTCAAGGTAGCGTTCAATAAAGTCTTTAGCAAAATAAAATTACTTTTCAACTTGAACAACTATCTAAAACCTATCAAAAAAATTTCAAAACACCGAAATTTCGGCCAAAAAGGCTATTTTTGGTCGCAAAATCCATATTTTTTTATATTTTTGGATAAACCGTTTGTACTGTGTCTTAATAGTGATTTTACTAAAATATAACACGATTTAAATTAAAAATACTCTCCCGAAATTTTGAAAAATCGAAATTCTGGCAAAAATCGGGAATGTTTGGTCAAAAAAATTCTATATTTTTGGACTTTTTAGTAAGCATTTGTAACGTTTTCACGACTAGGTAGAGTGAAAAACCATTTAGAAACACGTCCACTATTTAGATTTAAAAAATAAATCCTGTGACGTCATTCGAAAAGGTGATTTTTTTTAAAATACAGCACGCCGATTTCCGGCCGGCTGGCCGAAATTGCAGTCGAAATCGCCGGTCTATCGGCCCTTCCCGCCTTTTTTGGTCTTTCCCGATGCGTCAATTATCCTCGCGCCCGCTCCAGAGTAATCCAAAAACCCTGTTAAAACCGAAAAAAGTTAAAACTGACGAATTTCGGTTCCAAATGCCGATTTTAGCATCGATTGGGTTCTGCAATCCCCGCTTTTTAGACATTTTTTACGTAGAAAGCTTGTTCTTGAATAGGGCCGAATTCACCTAAAGATTTAGCAGTCTTTTAGTTATAATTAAACATATCTATTCCCTTAAAAAGTTCCAAACTTTTGAATAGCAGCGTCCACTTTCCAGGCCTTCCGGTACGCAGTTCAGGGCGCACTTATCACCTTTCCAGACGAACAAAAGAATGTAGTGAGCAGCCAAAAAGATGCAACACCACCCAACGAAATATTTCCGGCTTGATTCGTCCCGAGTGGGCGGTCTTTTGAAAAGCGGCTTCTCCCATTATCTCTGGCTTCTCTCTGCGAAAAATCCGACTCCCAAATTGGCCTAAAATCAGCAGCATCAAAATCAAGGCATTCGAACAGTTCTAAAAAAGCTTGCGAAAACGGGTGAAAAGGAAATTTTTTTGTAGCAACGTAACTTTCCAAATTCCGAATTGCGTCACCCGGAGAATGCGTACAATTTCGGAACTTCGGAACTGTATGGGGATTCCTTTTTATTCGAATAAGGTCCTGAAATGAAATGCATTTTTTACATATTGTTATTTTGCACCTTGCAGTTGCTCGGCACGTTCGCCGCTAAATAAACGTTGCTCTCGAATACAGTTTATCCGCCAAGATCACAACGTAAAAATCGATCAAATGCATAAAAAAGTTAATATTTTGTATTGTGGTGCCGGGTTTTGCCTTCAAATGTCCGGGTCGATGACGCCGCCGTAGATCGGACGGCCCTTGTCGTCTTCTCCACGCTCGAGGCTGTCGAAGATGAATTCTTCCATTTTTTGTCTAAATAGCGGGTTACTGCCGACCGGGAATCTTATACCTATCGGGGAAGACATCCTCCAAATATACGGGCACTTCATCTGCCGGCCACACGGAGCGCGCGTCGAACATGGCTCTTACTCTAAAAAAGGGCTTCTAGTGAATTTTTAAGCCTTACCTGGCCATGTGCTCGTCCGGCAACTCGTCCTTGTCCAGCAAAATCAGCTGCTCCTCCCCGGATGCATGGAGCGCCGTCAGGGCTACGCCAATCAAGTACTCCTTTCTGAAAACTTCCTTCTTGAAAAGGATTGTATCTCACTTGAAAGAGACTCCCGCCGGCAGAATTCGATCGACGATCCTTGCCAAATCGTCGTACATCCGGATCGGCGTAAAGGGCAGGATGTAGCGCAGACGGTTGTTCACCAACTTGGCCTCGTTGACGGTGAAAACTACAAAATTGGTTACACATCGATAGTTGGTGCTTACCACCATCTTGGCCCGAATCCATCGTATGCTCGATCAACCACTGTATTCCAGAATCGGGCACTTCAGCCGGAAACGCGGCGCGAAGAGCATCAAATGTGCAGTGGCTCACCTAAAATAAGGTGCGAACCATCAAGAAAGCCCACGTTGACCTCGCTGGCCGTGTCTTCATCAAAGAGGTCGACGAGAACATCGAGAAGGTGTGCGCAATATTGTGGCGTCATCCAGACAAGCTTTCCTAAGTCAGGAAAAATAGAATTGAATTACTTCGGTACCGTCTACATCGATGATGGGTAGTCGCTTGCAAAACGCACGCAGTTCTCCCTCACTGATTGGCAGCTGGCGTAACAGCTGGCGAATAGAATAACTAAATCAAGATCAACATACAGGAAAGATATTCTACCGTTTTTGATGGTTCGGATCGTCGGAGATGTCGGTGAGCTCTTCATCGTCGACGTGGTGGAGCTCGTATTCCCTTAAAAGCCGCCGAACGGCCGCCCAGTCAAAGTTGCCGCGGGGAATGGCAAGGTGCAGGCGTGAGTCGACGGGGGCGCGAATCTGATTGAAACAATTATTACCCGAAAAGGGAACCCGTTATACCTCACACTCTTTGAAATCCTTGGCTCGTTCGTCCTCGCGACTGATGGTCAACGGTGCGACCGCAAACAAAGCGTCTGATGCGTTTCTCTATATCAAAATTCCGAAGAAAAAAACAGCAACCCCGCCTGAATCGTGAACGTGCTATTCGCGGTGCACATCACGAGAGGATCCTTGGCCCCGCTTCGGAAGTAGAACCTAAAAATCTACGTATTTAAGAAAGCTCTCTCTCACTTTTCGCCCTGCTGGAACGACTTCATGACATCTTTCGGGACAGCAATCGCCCGAAGCCGCGCTTCGCCGTCGCCAAAACCGTCGGCAAATCGCAGATTCGTCAGCCCGTGCTAAATCCACGTTGTGAATCATGAAAATCGCTGCGTACCTTCTTCAAAACGCTCGTGTCACCAAACTCTTTCCTCGTCAGCATCTCCCGTTTGTACATTTCAAAGATCTAAAGAAGCCCGTTCAGAAATGATAGTTATATTACATTCTCCATGAAAGCTGGGTCATTTTTGCGCAGCTCGAACTCCGCAAGTCTTGTCACGCGCCGCTTCTTGGCTTGCTCCAAGTCCTACGATTTGCATGTTATACATTTGAAACGTCGGAACGCACCAATCGAATCCCGGGTGCTTTCAGGAAATTTTCTGGCGGTTTCGAAGGAGCCTAAAGTACAAATTACTTTGCTGAGACGAGACTTACTTCATTTTCCAGTCTTGACTTCTTTGGCGGATTCTCGGGCGTCGCCTTCGGGTTTCTTGGCTGGGCGGTGAAGAATTTTCGCATTTTATCCGTCAAAAAGGCCCAAAATGTATATTTTCGGAAAAGATTACATTTCTCCCACTATTAAAAATTTAAACTTGGCGCGCTGCAATTCGGAGACTTTCGGAATTTTTCTGACGCAATTCGACCGCGTAATCGGTTCTTTAATTTTTATATTTCTTTTACAGGCTTGACGATCAACCGAAAAAGCTTGAAATATTATCAAAACGCTATCACCGGATCGACGCAGACGTCGGCAGAAGCCAGCTGGCACGGGCAATCCCATGAATGTAAGCAAAAGCTGAGGATATATGGGTTTTTTTAGGTTACGAAACGGTTTGCGTGTCTCTATCCAGCTCAGACGGGCCCTACATGATGTAACGATTGCCTCGACATCTACTTCTTTTCCGCAAACGTTGGCAGTCAAAGTTTTCTGTGACAAGAGGTAGTTAAGGCTTGGAAAAAGACGCCTTACCTTTCCAGAAGAGCGCAAATCAGCCGGAGAAGCGCATCGACAAAAACGGGGCTACAACTTGAAGCTAATTCGGAATACAGAAAGTATGACCTGCGCGAACACTTGCTTTCCCGGCCCGATATGTACGTCGGTGGGAAGGAGATCACCGAAAAGGTTGGTTTTTAGTATTGTCAACGATTCGCTTTTAGAGCTCCTGGGTGCTCGAGGGCGATCGGATGGTCCAGAAGCTGATCAGATATTCTCCAGCGCTGCTAAAGGTTGTTTTAGGCTTTTTAGATGTGTACTGGGTTCAGGTCTTTGATGAGATCCTGATCAACGCGGCCGATAATAAGCAACGGGCGCCCGAGATGGACACGATTCGCGTGACGATAGACAGGTACGTTGATTGCGCGTTGGAACGTATTGATTTTGTTTCTAGAAAGTCGGGCACGATTTCCGTTTGGAATAATGGCACCGGGATCCCGATTCGCGAACATCCAAAAGAGCACGTCCCGATTCCGACGCTTATTTTTGGGTATCCGATGGTCTCCTCGCATCTCGACGACTCGAAGACACGGATTGTAGGTTCGTAATGAAAAATCCTGGGTTTCGAGGAAGGCCGAAAAATTTTGGTATTATCAAATGCGTGTTTAGGCGGTCGCAATGGCTACGGGGCGAAAGCGTGCAACATCCTTTCCTCGTCTTTCAAAGTCCGGACCGGTTCCCGGGCCGACCAGAAGCTTTTCGAGCAGGTAGATTGTTTGTCTAACTGATTTTTCACTGATTCCAGACCTGGACGGACAATATGGCGAATAGGGAGGAGTTCAAGTTGTCGAAATATGATGGCGAGGATTTTACAGAGGTTGGCGAATTCCGGCTTCATCCAAATCTCATTTCAGGTCATCTTCACGCCCGACTACGCTTGGTTCGGCGTCCCGGGGCTTGAAGCGGACATGATTGCGTTGCTACACAAGCGGGTGCTGGATCTCGCCGCTACGCTGAATGGCGTTAACGTCTACTATAATGGCCTCAGGGTTGAGGTATTTTATATTGAACAAAATTTGGGCCTTTCGTATTATCGGGGGACCAACTTTTTCTACGTCTCATAGGCGAAAAATTGGTCCCCCCGATAATGCGAAAGAACCGGATTGAAATTTGTTTAATTGCAGGTCAATCGTTTCGAGGAATATGCTCGGCTTTTCGTGGCCCCGGATTCTTCTTTACATGGTCAACGTCCAAACAAGTTTGTGAACTACTGTTGGCGAATTGGACAGTTTTCCAGTTATTGGCACGTAATCGTGGGCAGCTCGACGAAGGGGAAAGCTTTGCAGCAAATTTCATTCGTCAATAATGTCCATACTTCAAAGGTATGTAATGAACTTATTTAAAAGGCAAAATCAACCTTTAGGGCGGCCGCCACCTAGACTATGTGTTGAATCAGATTGTCGACGCGGTACAGCAGCGATTGGCCGAACTGGGTCATCCGAAAATACGGCCTTCCGAGGTGCTTTGATCAATGTTATACAATATCTAGATTTAGATTAAACCCCATTTTATCGTCTTCATCAATTGCCTGATTGAGAACCCGTCTTTTCAGGCCCAGACCAAGGTTTTGTTTTGTTTTTTATTCTAATGCAAAATTATTAGGAAGAGCTGACGACTACTCCAAAACATTTCGGCTCCTCCTTCGAGTTGGACGTCAAGAAGCTGCAGCAATGGGCCGAGGAGGCGGGGATTCTGGAAGAGATTTTGTCGAATACAGAGGCGAATAAGGTTGGACTCTCAGTTTTTTATCCCAAATAATACCGTGATTTCAGCGTCCCAAGCGGAAACTGGCCACCGCCGAGGTGGAGAAGCTGATTGACGCGAATTGGGCGGGCAAGAAGAGGCGTGAGTGGTGGTTTCTATTTTACTTGAAGATTCGTGTTTTAGGCGACGAGTGCACGCTGATCATCACCGAGGGCGATTCCGCAAAAGCGTTTGCAATGGCCGGGCTGGAGGTAAAGTCTAGTTCTAACCGTCAACCGCTGTTGGTCAGGATGGGAATTTGATAAGACCTAGCCTAGTTTGGGAAGAATTTTTTGCCGATCCCGAATCGGATTTTAGAAACTACTGTTACTGTTACTGCTAAAAAATTACAAGGCTTTTTAGCTCAAAAAACGCCAAAAAACTGCACATTTTGAATGGCTAGAAAATCTTCGAAAAAATGTTCAAGAAAAACCCATTAGTTCTTTGGATCAAGAAAAACATGCTCAGAAAAGTCGGCTCTTTAGAATGAGCTTTGTCGCGTCAAATTTCCCGTATCTTGCTCCAAACGCGGTTTTAACGTGGCGGAATGTGTACATGTATGGAACGAAACCGATTTCGACAATTGTTGAAGAAATTGACGTGGTATAGCGCATTCGAAAGCGCCGTTTTTTTCGGAGAATGGTGCCTTCTTGGCTTTTTTCAGCTAAAAAGCTTTTAATTGCTTCAAAATGGCCATTTAGCGGTTTCTAAAAGCAGGATCGCAATTCGCGAGAAATTCTGCACAAGGTAGGCGTGGTCTGATGTCGAATTTCGATCCCGTCCAGGATCACTTTACTGTAAGCGGCTTTTAGGCCAAAGGTCGTGATCGCTTCGGGATTTTGCCGATTCGCGGGAAGCTGCTGAACGTGCAGGACGCGGCTGAGGCGCGGGTAGGCCTTTTTTTGGTCTTGAATCAGGAATTCATCGACGAAAAGCCCACGTAAAATAATACAATAGTTTCCTTCGAAAGTGTCGACGATACCCCCTGTAAAAGAAGTAAAAAAGCAATAGTTTTTAGGTCTTCGCCAACAAGGAGATTCTAGCGCTTTGTGCGGCGCTGAATTTGGATAAAAATCGGACGTACGAAACGCAAGCCGACCTCGATTCCCTTCGCTATGGAAAACTGATGCTGTTGGCAGATCAGGTTGGTTTATTTTCTGTTTTGAGACGTATTTTGAGTTCCCCAATCGCTTCAATCAATAAAGGACTACATACCTATGCCTTGATTTTACTGGCATTTTTCGATTTTCGCTAATTTTGCAGGACGACGACGGCGCGCACGTAAAGGGCCTCGTCATCAATTTCATCGGCCACTTCTGGCCAGCTCTTCTGCGCGCCGGCTTCATCTCTAGCTTCGTGACGGCGTTGATCAAGGTTTGTTGGGTTCGTCGAGCCAGATTTCCCTGATTCAGGCCCGTCGCGGCGACGAGGTGATGAACTTCTTCTCGCAGTCCGAGTTCCGTGGCTGGTTCGACCGGCAGCCGGACGCGCACAAGTGGAAAATCAAATACTACAAGGGGTTAGGCACGTCCACCTCTCAGGAGGCGCTCGAGTATTTCCGAAATTTGGAGCAACATGTCGTGCCGTTTCGGTGGGTAAAGTTGTCTTTTCATTCTTACTGCAAAATTAGCTGGAGCGCTGGCGACGATGAGCAGCTCCAGATGGCGTTCGATCCGGGCAAGTCAGCGGCAAGGAGAGGCTGGTATGAGCGAAGGAATACGGTAGCAGAAATCTATTTTATGCTGTACATCGATAATTCTAGGAGCTAGCCGAGCAGGGCGATGATGTCAAGGTGTTGCGGTCCAGCGACGGCATCACCTACTCGGAATTCGTCGACCAAGAGTTGTTTCGATATACGCTACTCAGCATCCGGGTATTTGGGCCTTTTTTTCTGGCGTATCTACATTTAGCGCCACATCCCCAGCGTGATGGACGGGCTGAAGCCGAGTCAGCGGAAGGTGCTGCACACCTGCTTGAGCCAAAGTCGCGACGCCGAAAGCAAAGTGTCGCAGTTGGCATCGGCGGTCGCGTTGGCGCAATCATATCATCATGCCGAGGTATGGCTTTTCAATTATTTTGTATCAGAATGTCCAAAATCATCATGTTGGAGTTCAAGAATATCGAAATTTCGATATGTCGACATTTTTCGATAGGTTTTTGCGAGTTTGCGCGGGTTTTCGCGTGCAAATTTCGAGATTGTGAATTTCGAAAAAGTTGGTTTTCGAAATTTTGAAATCAACCCGTTTTTAAAAGGGCTTAGCTTTTGTCGCTAAAGTTTGAACAATGCTAGAACGATTAAGAAGACTTTAGATACCTTCACGACCTTTGAAAAGCGTCTTTTATGTACTTGCATGCTAGTGGTTTTCCAGACTATTTTTAAACGTGATTGTACACCTTATCTTACCGGTTTTCCAGAAATATTAGGCGTTTTCATTACGGTTCAAACACTTGGCCGTTCTAAATGATTTCGGCCAAAAATTGGATTTTTTTTTTTTTGGCGATTTGAACCCGTGCTTTCCAGGCCTCCCTCGAGGGCACAATCGTGCGACTGGCTCAGGATTTCGTCGGCGCCAACAATGTCCCGCTTCTGCTGCCAATCGGCCAGTTTGGCACTCGATTCGCTGGTGGAGAGGACGCCGCTTCGTCGCGCTACATTTACACCAAGTTGAGGTATCGATTTGCGTACGTAACGCTACTAATACGGTTTGTTTTCAGTCCCGTCACCCGGTTGCTGTTTCCGGCACAGGATGAGCCGAGCCTGGAATTTGTGGTTGAGGAGGGGCAACGGGCCGAGCCGAAATGGTTGGGGGGTTGTTGGAACATTTTGCACAATTCTGTTAGGTTGTGTCCCGTGGTACCTACCGTATTGCTCAATGGATGCGAAGGACTGGCAACGGGGTACGTTAAAATGTAGTTAGTGTATTGCGTACTTTTTAGATGGTCCAGCTCGGTCCCGCCCTACAATCCAAGCGACGTCATTGGAAACGTCAGACGCTTGATCCAAGGAAAACCGACGCACAAGATGGTGATTTCTATTGTTGTCCTACTGAAGAAGGCTCTGATAAAGCCGGTTATTGTCTGTGAGCGGCGGGCGGGCACCACCTTTTGCTTTTTACCTAAACCTAGCTGTTGATGATATATTATACATTTTTATAGTGTTTTTCGTAGTTTCTGATTGCTAGAGAGTTATAAAAGATTTTGAAATTTTGAAAATTCGAAAAATTGCTGATTTTTATAGTTTTTGAACAAAAATTCAAACATTTTGGTATGTTTTTCTATATAAGAACTATGTAAAATGCTGTAAAAAATGGTTTATATTTTGTGAAATTGCCGGATAGAAACGCCGGAAAACATATTGCCCCCCCCGCTAACAGTCCAGAATCATAAACGCCTTTCTTGACGTTTTAACGTTTATTTGATTTTTGCTTTTAGATTCCGCACTTTCGAGGCTTCACAGGGGGCATCGTGGCCGAGGAAGAGCAGAATTCCTACAAAGTCCAAGGCGTCATTCGTGTGCTGAAAATTCACGTGAGTTCGAGGTTCTATTTTCTTACGTTGTTTGAGGGTCCCGAGCGAACCCGTATCTGCATCACGGAGCTGCCGGCGCGCGTCTGGACCGAGGACTACAGGCGCGAAGTGATTGTTGCGTTGCAGAAAGAGGGCGTCATAAAGTATGTTTTATGTCGTTTTCTAATTCTGCTTTTAGGGACCTCTCCGAGCAACACACCGAGAACAAAGTGCACTTCGAATTCGACCTCATCCACCCACCACTTTTGCCCGCCAACTTGCGCATCGCCGGGATGGGCGCCCGGTTTCTGGCCGACCCACAACTACGAATGGCGCGCACGTTGAGGACAAGTAATATGGTGTGTAAAATTCAAGCTTTCACGGCCGATTACAGTTCAATAATGGTAAAAAAACCAATTTCGATCAGTTTGTCGAAAATCATTCTGTCGGAATTTGATTTTATTGGAATTTCGATGCGCTCAATGTCAATTTTGCGAAATCTTGGATATGGCTTAGACGAAACGAAAAAGGCATCGAAATTTCGACAGAATTGAATTTCGCGCTCTTTTGGATTCGCGAGTGGAACCTTTTTTTGGCGCCAGCCTAAATTTTTTTATAACTAGCGGCGACGTTTCTACATTGCTTTTAACTATTCCTAAACGCAAAATTTACAAATTTTGGTTAAAATTTTAATTCGAATAATTGATTTTTTTCGGCCCAAAGTGACCAAATTTTCGACCTTTCCAAACAGTTTTTTACTTTTTTTTTAGAGAGGTTTTGCTTTAAATATACTGACTAAAAACAATGTAAAAACACTCGATATCTGATTACTAGGCCGACCGGGGCCGCCAGGAAAAAGTTGCCCCCCTCCCCGCGAATCCTAAAGAACCAAATTTGGACAAAATGAGATCAGCCGCAAAAAACGCATATTTTTTTAAAGCATTGTTTAGGTGCTGCACGACCCGGCTTCTCTCATCAAACACTACCAATCCACCGACGACATTTTTGCCGACCACTTTGCCGTCCGCCATCGCCTCTATGAGGAGCGAAAAGCCCGCGAAATGACCGGGATCGAGGCCAAGCTTACGGTGGCTCGTAATCAGGTGCGGCTTGTCATTTTAATTAATCCTGTAATTCTTCGGTTCTTTCGCATTATCGGGGGGGGGCAAAATTTTTGCTAGGACTCGATAAATTCCTAGTTGCGTAATGGTAAATGTTTTCGTAGTGTTTAATTAAAATATAACAATATTTTGGCTCGTAAACAATCAGGAAAGTTAGAAAAACTTGCTTTTGGAAGTTTTGGTCGAAAAAATCTAGATTTTTTGTACTTTTTATCAAAATTGGTAACGTTTTCACGTATTGGAAAAATGGGATCCTCCGAAAAAGTTGATTTCCCCCTGAGAATGCGAAAGAACCAATTCGTTTCTAGCATCGCTTTATGGCGGACGTGATCGAGGGACGACTGCAGCCGAACGACGACGAGATCGTCAGCCGTCTCGTAGAGCGAGGCTACGATTCGGATCCACGGAGGGTGGGAAAGGTTCGTTGAGGGAGCTGAGAAAGGTTTTTAGGTTCTTGCGCATTATCGGGGGGGGTTCTTATGATCTATTTTTTTGCTAATAACAATAGTGGAAGTGTTTTAAACAATTTTTACATGCCTAGACGTGAAAACTTAACAATTTTTTTTGCGAAAATATAGATTTTTGACTAAAATGTCGTCTTTTTGAAAGCTTTTTTTGAAGTTTTGAGATAGTTTTTCTAATTGTGACTTTTTTACATGTTGCTAAAAACACAATTAGAGCGCTTCCTATTAAATTACTATAGTTTTCTAGACCTTCAAAAAAGTTCGCCCCCCCCCCCGATAATACGAGGAAACCGGATCTTATAACTTCCGTTCTAGAAACCCGAGTACGACTACCTGATCGACGTGCCCATCCGAAGACTGCGACGGGGCGAGATGTCGAAGCTCGAAGCGGACATTCGACATCTGGAAACACGTCTTCAATCTACCCAGTGTAGAACCGTCATCCAGATGTGGTCGTCCGATTTGGATATTGTCGAGCAGGTACCATTTTTTGCTGAAATTAACTAAGATTTTTTTCAGGAGCTCCGAACGTCTGCCTCCCCGAAACGCTGAAACGTCATTAAGCATATCCTTGTCCTTGATACGTTTCTGTTTTGCATACTATGTCACGTTGTGATGCCCTTTTTACTCTGAACTGTTGTTGAACTTGCTTTTTCCCGGCGGACCATTACCTTGCTAATTTTTTCCCGGGTGTCCAGTTTTATTTCAGATTTCATACGGCATAAAGCCTCACGCAGCCTTATTTATAGAACAAAAACGCCTATACAACGCCTGTATAGAATTGCAGAACCAGAAACTGTCAGGGCACTGTCGGTTCAAAAGTTGTCCGTCAGCTGCATTTTGTGAGTCACATTTAAATTTGTTTTCTGGAACTCGTAAGGTGATACGTCACCTTCTGCTTCAGCCTGTGCTTGGCTAACAAAAATTGTAAGAGCGATTGGAGTCCCTGAATTTTTGGCGTTCCCCTTACCCCAAAGCCGGCATTCGGCACCTGATATAACGCAAACGAAACCGGCCGCTTAAATCTGGCGATGATTTAATTTTACGATTTTTGACGACCGACAGTGGTTAAAAATTTTTAAACATTTTTGAAAAATTAGAAAACTTTGAAGCGATAAAGTATGGGACTTTTGATGATTTAGCGGGACTTCAAGGGTATCAAAATGAAGCTCTTGGAAGGCGCTACCAAGCCATGGTAAAGAGCTTGGATCGGTTTCGGTTCGTTTCGGTATCGGTTTAACTAGGCGTCAAATGGAGCCTTCGGAAAAACGCACTTTTTCAGAAAAACTTCCAGATAAAATTTCCTTACCATTCGATCTTGCTGATATTTTGTATTTACCAATAAATAGATAAATACTAAAGTTTGGCATAACAAATTTAAAGTTCCCAAATCGATAATTTTTTGGCATTCTGTCAAGTCGGCAGAAACTGCAAGTTTTACGTTTATATAATTAAAAATGTAACATGATTATTGTTGGCAAATAGCACTACATCTAACAAATAGAAGAAGTTACCGTGGCAATGTGCTTTCTATGGTCAACTCGGAGCCGCCCTTTCTTGAAAAGTCCGTTTTTTTCCAAAGGCTCCTATTGACGGCTAGTTAAACCGATAAAAATTCTTTAAAACTGGCTTGATAGCGCATTCCAAGAGCTTCATTTTGATACCCTTGAAGAGCCCCTTTAACTCATAAAAAGTTCCATAATTTATCGCTTCAAAGTTTTCTACTTTTTCAAAAATGTAGATAAATTCAAATTTTTTTAACGACGACTGGTCGTCAAAAATCTTCAAAAAAAACAACGCGTTATTTCTTCATGCTCAGCATATTTAAGCATTCTGGCAAGGTGAGCATGGTCTGATTCGTTTCCGTTCGCGAGATAAATCCTCCCCCGCTGGTCGGCCCATAAAAATTTTCGAGGAAATTTTCGAAGTTCGATTGTACAAACTTATGGTCCAACCTAATACTATCGCTGACTCTATTCGGTTTTACACGCACGTGCAAGATGGCCGATAATATGGCCAACAACTTTATTCCGCTATCATTTTGGCACTCAACATGTAAATCGAAATCATAATCCCTAGTTGCCCCGGGGGCTTGACACATGGCGCGTAATTGGCCTTTTAGGCGGGAACTGCGATGGCAGGGCCGACCGAACGCATACGAATTGCTTGTCCCCATTAACCGAATTCTTCCGATCTATCATTCAGAACACTGAAATGCGAAGCTCCTTCGATTTTTCACGGCTGCCGCTACTCTGCCAAGAAATGGTCCACGATCAACTTGAATGGCACGAGAAAATTCGCTGTCGATCCGCGTCACACGTATGTTTGTCCAGAGCGCAAGATCTTTCCAACCACCCCGCAGCTAATTCGTATTTTGGGACATGAATAATTTTTGTAAACACTAGTTTTTTCAGGCTAATGATAAATCAGTTTGCAACCAGAGTTGAAAAGCCGCTTCGCGACTTTTTAACCCTGGTCCCGTCTGATCCCAGGATACTCTTCACTTTGCATAATTCCCGCGGTTTTCGATGACAAAAAATGACAAACGATACCTCTCTTCGCTTGTATAGGCTACCCTGACTTCCGGCGTATGCTAATTGGGTGCTAATGCAGTTAGGGGGCGGGGCAGTCCGAAATTGGTGGTAAGGGGTTACGAGACGCTCCGCTTAAGCTACTTGGTTTTAAACTTAAGCCCAAGCTAAGCTTAACTTAAGCGTTAAATTGCCTTAGGAGGTCAAAATGGGGTCATTTAGGGTTAAACTTACAAGGAAACCTCCCCAGCTCGAAGTTGGACTTCGATTAGCCATATAGCCTATCTGATGCAGTTTTTCACTCTGATAACGATACCGATATTTATTTTTGCCGAGCGCCACAGGAACTTTTGAAAGAGCGCCACTCTTTTGAAAACTTTTTGAAAAAAGGAGAAGGAAATACTAGGTTCTGTCTTTAAGTTTTTTTTACATCTTATGTCAAGCTTCATTTCTCCACCAAGGTAAGCATTTTGAGGTCATAAAATTCCTGAGGATCGTATACCTGTGATTCGTTGTAGCCATAACTACCTGAATTAGCGACCAAAAGTGCAAAAAAAAACTTAAAAACATTTTTCTTGATGACTTGTAGGACCTTCACAGCACTTTTGAAGCAAAAAGCAAAAAAGTCGTCAGCGGCAAGACTCGAACTAGCGACCTCTAGATTGGTTGGCCAAGTACTTGCCGACTACACCACGCCGCCGATGGATCCTTCCCCGTGGGGAGGGGCTTTGAGGCGGGGCTGCCAAAATGACAAAACTTTAAATCGATTTTTAACAATGTTCCTGTGGCGCTCGGCAAAAATAAATATCGGTATCGTTATCAGCGTGAAAAACTGCATCAGATAGGCTATATGGCTAATCGAAGTCCAACTTCGAGCTGGGGAGGTTTCCTTGTTAGAGCTAACAAGGAGCGCCTTTTGGGTGTCATCGGCAAATTCCTTCGAGACCTAGCTCATTCGATAGAGAATTCGATTCTGAACAAAACCCCGTTGTTCTTTTTTGCTATCCCTGATTTTATAAAATTAAAATACTAGTGACCGTCTCTTACCATGAGTGCCTTTCAAGCCAAAAGAGAGGCTTTTGGGTGCAGTTTTAAAATTTTATAAAATCAGGGATAGCCATTCTGCAAAAAAGAACAACGGGGTTTTGTTCAGAATCGAATTCTCTATCGAATGAGCTAGGTCTCGTAAGGTTTTGCCGATGACACCCAAAAGGCACTCCTTGTAAGCTTAGCTTGGCTCAAGCTAAGCTTAGACTTCCTTTGTATGAGGCTTGGCTTCACTTTTCCAGAGGCTTCGAGTTTAAAAAACGGCATTTGGAGCGTCTTGTAGTCCAAATCCGGACTGCCCCCCCAAGTGCATTAGCACCGCTAATTGTTTCCTAACAAAGAGCATGCCCGATTTCTCAACAAAAACTTAATTTTAACGTCGAAAACAGATAATTTTTGAGAATTTGATGAGTGTGCAGTCATTCCAAAGCCGTTATGCTCCTAATGAGGTATCATACGCCGCTCTATCAGAATCTCTAAAAATCAGAATCTCTAAATTTCGGAATCTCTAAATTTCTTTGTTCAGGAACCCATACAGTTTTTGGCGCAAATTGAAACTGTAATGCGCTTTTACCCAAAGACGCCTATGAAAACTTTTACTTGGGGTAGTTTTTTGCCCTGATCACGGAAAACGTAACCACGAATCACAAAAATTTGAAATGAATTGCTTATAGCAAAAATAAGTTTTGGGCTTTGAAGACGCACGCTATTCCAGGCTTTAACAGGCAGGCACGGATAGCTTTTGGGCTACGGCAGGCTCCCCTGCACAAGGGGACAGCGTGCTCGCCACGTTTTTGTTCGAAATGAACAAAATTTTGGACAAAACTGGATTTTTCTCGAAATTTTAATAGAAAAATTAGAAACTCAATTAGATTTAAATATTCTAGACGCGAAGGCGCAGATTTTGAGACCTAACTATCGACGATCTATTCTGGTACTTTTTTGTGATGATCTTTTGAAGTTTAGTCCAGGATTTTGTGCGATTTTAAAAAGCGCAGAAACCAAGCATTGTCGCTGAAATGTGAGCCTAGATTTGGTAAAATCAAGGTCGATTACCCCCCGGTGCGTGAAATCGACGCTGAAAATGGCTCCAAGTGACTGTTTTGCGAAAATGGTTGCTAGTGGATCAACCGTCTCTTTTTGATCGGGTTAATTTTTCCAGATCCTTATTGTTTTAGCAGTTTTCAATGGCTGGAGCACAGTTTTTAAGCAAAACGCAAAAGCTTCGCAAAGGTTTTGGGGAGAAATAGCGGTTGTACGTTGGTCCCGGGGGTCGAACCCGGACCCTCTGTTCGAGATTTGGGATCGGCGCTAACCGATTGCGCCGCGGCCCCAGGGGGTCCTATCCGTGCCTCCGTGGAATGCCGTGGACAACAGTTGTAAATACAGGGTGCGGAGAAAGTTTTGGGTGGCAGAATTAGCTATGTTTTCACAAATTGCGTGCTCCAACCTGGATTTTTTGAATGGGAGACTAAAAAAGGGCGATTTGAGAAACACTAGGCACCAACAGATCAACAAAATTTTTGAAATTTTTGGGGGTAAATGCACTGAAAGCGTCGCGCTAAAATCACCTTCGACACGCAGCGCTTTTGCTGCTCTTACCGTAGGCCCTGTGCAACATTCTTCACCAGAATTCACGAGATTTGCTCCAGATATTGCCAATCCAATCCTACATCACCCCATGAAATTACAAAGTTTCTGAATTTAAATTCAGAGAGTTCTGGCGCTTTTAATGCTGAGTGATTCCTCTAGCGGCATGGGAAACAGCTGCGAAGCTGGGGGCTTACAGCCCATAAACCGCGAAGCAAAACATTAATGATAGATTAGGCATATGAATATTTTAAATCAAGATGTTTGACGTCGAAATTTGTGGGATAGACATTAAAACAACTGCAGGTTGAGCTTCACAATAGGTTGAAAAGCCGAAAACCGCGGCACGCTGCTTATTTTCAACTCAATTGTGCCCAGGGT